AAGGAAGATCTGGTGCTTTATGTTAAATTTTCCATGTCAGACAATGAATATTTTGTTAGTTCTGTTGGAATCCTGTCGTAGATTTTCGGTAAAAAATATCGTAGCAGGTCACTGGAATATTGATTTCACTATGTACAGCATTCAATGCAGCTTTTGAGTATCTAGGTGTTTGGCTGGTTATAAATTTAAGGGAGTCAAGTTTGCCTTGCATAGTTTCTTTATCCTCCTAGATTTTAACTGCTATTATTTTTTTACCCTGGCAAACATACTAAATGCAGCAAAAATCATGCAGGAATGTTAATCAAGATAAAAGAGAGGGCCAAGCCTGTGCTGCAAGTGGGGGACAAAGGATAATTCAGGATAGAGATGGAAAATTAAAAAATTTGCTGAAGAAGACTTATCTGAGACACTGGGTTGGTAATATTGATTCTGACACAGATAATGCTGTTACTCACCTGAATTATGAGGGGCACTTCAACCAAAAAAAATCCACCTCTAGTGTGGATTTTGCAAGGTTCATGGAAAATTTTTTCTTAACATTTTATTTTGGTGGCTTACACTGATGGGAAAAGGCTCTACTATTGCTGACAAGCATGGTAGTTAGCCAAATGGCATTTGAAGAAAATCTGCTTACAGTTTTTCTCTTTCATCTGTTCTTGTTTTCCAGGATAAAGATTGAAAATGCAGCCCTGCAGGAGATCCTGGAAAGTATGGAGTATCTAACCTCTTCAGTACGTAAGCTCCGTCTTGCACTCTTGAAGGTAATTACTGTTGCCAATTTTCTAATAATTAAGAGGCAATTATCCATCTACTGAAATCCCTGAAATTTGTTGCTGTTATTTAACAATGATGTCACTGACAGAACGAGAACAAAACTCTCTTTTTTTTTTCTTTTTGGGGGAACATAACTTTAGCCCTGTGGAATGGAAAAGCATTCATTTATGGCTTCTTTGGGTGTTCCATTTTTGATTTGGGAATTTTATCTTGCTAAAACATCTAGGCAAATGAGTCAGCTGTATTAGAAGGCACAAATACTGGTTTGGCGGAAGCTGTCTATGACATCATTACAGAAGCCAGATTGCTTAAAACTGCTCTTGGTAGCTCACTTCCAATCAGTTGGTCAGCTGAGGCAGATGTAGAATCACAGGTTGACCGTTTTGAGGAAGCAATTGGTTCAAGTGATGCAAATTCTAGTAATGAGAAAGTAGATTTTGTCTCTGCTGCTGGACTTGAGATGGTGGACCTCTTGCTTTTTGCAGCTCAATTATGCAAAGAGCGCCTAGCAAGAAGTTAGAGTTCTTGCACGGGGAAATGATACATTGTACAGTTTGGGATAGACCTCACCATTTGGATCTCTGGTTGAGTTTCAGTCTTGCTATAGGGTGATGAAAGGACACGTACAATTTACAATCTGTACATGGTGTGGTTCTTCCAACTTGCTTGTGTACTGATTAACATGATGTATTGTGGCGCAAGGTTTAGTCAGCAATATTACTGCATACTGTACAGTGGTCGGTCAATTCTTTGATATCTTTTCTGATATAAGTTGAAATGTTGTAAATTCAAACCTTGTAAATATTTCTTGAATAGCATATTAATTTATTTGTAAAATGAAGGCTGGATTTCTTTGTCAATTTTGGGTAATTTTTTCAATCCTAGGCTTCCGTTGCTAAGTTAGATTTAACAGGTAGAAATTGTGGCTTCTGAAATGGCTCAAGTGTAAACAGATGGGGCTTCAGTTACTCTGGTTTAGTAACTTTGAATGCGTGGAATTGCACGCGTACACAATCGAAAGTTGGCGTTTCTTTTGTTGAAAGGTTTGCAGATTGTACCCATGTACGTTTGGCATCTCCGGCAGGTGAAAGAAGAAGGCTAATGGTCTGCATTTAACCATCTTGGGATTGAGATCAGGCTGTCCATATTCTACCATCCCTCCTTTTTTGTGTCCTCATTCTCGGTTGAAAGTCGAAGAAGGATGGCGAGAATTTTTAGTATTAAACGTAAAAGCAACTTGTCCAATTATTCTGCAGCCTGTAGCTATTTATCCTTCACCGGTGAATCGTTGGACTCGCATAAGGTTTACCTATGTACATCTTATTAAGCAAGTAGAGAATTTACACGAACAAGCTCAGGAACTGCTTGCAAATTCACACCACAACCTCAGGACAAATTATACACCCCACATAGCTAGAGACCGAAAGTTCTGCATAAAACTCATCCACAGTACAAAATCATCCTGGACAACAAAGTTAGCAAACCGTTCTCACCACCAAGAGAAAAGGGTCAGAGAGATTAATAGAGAGAGAGATCAATCTAGCAAATAATAGTGTATTTTCCTTGTGGCCTCATGATTCTGCAGCTATTTCCATATGAGCAGGAAGCGATGGCTCCTTGTCCATGTCATTTTCCAATTGGCTGTAGTTGCCTTTTTCCTTGACGAGTTGGGCGTGATGGTGCTTGCAGTAAAGCGTTCCCTCATGTGCAATATAGTTTGATGGGCTTATTGTACAACCCCCATGAGAGCATTTGAAGCAACTTCTGTGGTATGGTTTTCCGTTGACAGTAACCTTGCAGAGTGAAAAAGGATCCAGATTACAAACGTGTGGCGATATAAGATATTGTCATGTCTTGCAAGTTTTTAAAGAGTTGATAGAAATGGATGACTAATAGCTCTGCAGATCAAGTTCCAAGCCGCAAATTCTTAGATTTGCCTCATGATATAAATCACATTAGGTGGAAAGAGATTTTTCTGCGGTTTCTGCGTACCTTCTCAATTGGATAGACAGTTTTGTCACATCCAATACATTTATCCCTGGTGCCCACGAACAGGCTTGAGACTTTGGTCGCGTTCTGTTCAATGAATGTGGATTGGGGATTAGCAGTTGATAGGACGAGAATACAAGAACTAAAAGCTAAGGATTTAAAATGAAGTTGATGCTAAAAAGAGCGCAGCAATTGATAATTCGCCCTCTTCCAGAAGAGGCCGAGTTGTGAAGAACAAAGAATAATACTTCATGGTCCACAGGCTTTTCTGGTTTCACTACTTTTGGCGTTCCTAGAATAAAATGAAAACGAACTCAAAATATCAGCAGAAAAAATAATAATAGTAATTCATTAAAAAAAACATCTGACATGAAGCTTGGACTGGAATTTACAGTCACTCGTACCTTCAAAACTCTTGTCAAGACTGCCGGTTCGCTTGAACAGCTGATCAAAGTGAGGCCTGCAGTATAGGACCCCATCAAAAGAATTGAAGTTGCCAAGCTGTTCTTCCAACAAAATGCGAAACACATTAGACCAAAACACGCCTAGGATCATGAATCCAAAATCAAGGACTACGTTAAATGATTTATTCAGTCAGTTTCAAGAGTCAAATCAATTCCAGAATGCAACTGTCGATCAAGATTACATGTTTACCTTGAGGGTACGTTGGCAATGGTGGCACCGGAAGCAAGCTTTGTGGTAAATGCGGTTGTCTGCTGCCAACTTATCAACCAAATAAACCGTCTTTTCGCAGACGGTGCATTTTTGGGTCGTGCCAACAAATGCCATATTTTCCTACTATATTAATATGAAGGAATTGCCAATCTTTTATTATGTTCAAGAACGAACCAGCCCAGCCGGCTAGAGAAAGAAGTGATCTTTCCAAGAAAGAAAGAAACCACTCTTTCTCCAGTTGCTCTCTCAATCTTCTTCCTCTATGACCACCCCTTTTGTTTCTCCCTCTCCATTAATGGTGGAGCATGGAGCATAAGGTTTTTGAGGGGTTAAAGGGGGAATGAAATGCAAAAGAAATTTGTGGATCGCAGAAATTTGCGGGGGATAATCATGGGAGTTGGAACATTGGCGCCATTCAGTAATCATGTTGTCCGAACTTAAAGCAATTCCATCCCGCAGACTTGGTACCAAACAAACTACCATATGCTCCTTTTGGATAGCTGAATTGGGTGAAAGGAAATGATGTGAAAGTGGAGGTGTCAGCTAATTTCTCAGCATTTTCTCTGGTAGCAAATTCGTAGTCTCAACCTGCGCACTTAAATAGCGAGAGTGACTTGAAAGCATATTATTAGCAACGTCCAAATGCCATTTAAAATTTTTAATTTATTTTTCCCTTCAAACAACAAACACATGAAAACCATTTTCCTAAAAGCTAAAACTTGTAGGACTAAAAAGGCACTGCGAGAGAAAATAGTTCATATATTTATTTGAAATTTTCTAACGTACGCCCGTCAAATAACTAGTTAAGATGTTTAAATCACATTTAAATTATTATATAAATATACACACTCGCAATTATTGTTGCACCCCTTAAACTGTGACACTCTCTCAAATTAACTATTTTTTTTTTCTAAGAAACTAACACCTGAGTCTCTTATGGAGTACACGTTATGTTAGTCAAATCATTTTTTATTTTTTTTTACTTTCTATTTCTCATGTGAGACTCTAGGTCACAATCAATATTTAGACCTACATTAGCAGTAACTACATTTTCTAAGTTCCCTTCCAATCAGCATTATATCATTGAGCGACAATTATGACCATTCTCGTCCCGTTCAAAGTTTGACGGCAATAATTGTGGTCATAACAGCACGTTGTCATCCTATATAAAAAGAAATTATGCTTTCTTGATTTCTGTTTGGGGATGAATCATGTCTTTTGTAATGAAGCAGTTCTAACATGAGTAGAAAAGTGAATCAGAAGGCGATGACTATCGATAATTACACCTGTAACTGCATTTCCTCTCTTTCAACTCTCTAGAATGGTCAAACTAGTCAGCAAGCAAAATACGCCTTTTTCAAAACGATAAAAATTCCAATTGCAGATTTAAGCTTCAGGGCTAGTGGCAATTTATCTTGTTCCCTTGACCGGCCGGGCATTTGGTCTAGTGGTATGATTCTCGCTTTGGGTGCGAGAGGTCCCGAGTTCGATTCTCGGAATGCCCCCCACCATCAATTCACTTTTTGCAAACATGCATTTCCATGATCATATCTCTGTCATTTCTCAAACAAACAAGAAGGCCTTTATGTAGATAGATACTAGTTCTGAATCAAGTAGCAGAAGTTAATTCTAAGCACTTTACGGTTGACAAATTTTATTCTCTCTTGACAGGTCCACAAAGCCCGTCATTGTCCGCTAGCTAAAACATTTAAAATCAGCATCTACTCTTTGCGGATCCCGGCTGCAAATCACAAATGAAAGCTCAGATCCATGTTAAGAGATCGGCTTGATCCGAGAAGCCCATTTGAAATTTTGTATTCGAAGGCCTGGATTTGTTCCGAACCCCGATGGCCAATCAGGGGAGGGAGCCCCCAATTGAAGCATACGCACTTGTCGAGCCAGGTCAATTTACCCACACTTTGATCACCCGTTTGTTTTCTCTTCTTGCAAGAGGAGGCATATCATGACTTTTCTTTCCCATTTAAACAGTCAGGATCAGCCAACGAAAATGATGCCTGACCAATTAAAGGGCACGCTAAAAGCATGCTCTTCTTGCTTAAGGTGCAATTCTCCCATCAAATAGATCGCATCAACCAAGCTGATTCAAAAAGCTATTTGCCCAAGTTTAGATAGATTAGAGTTCCAGAATCCATGTCTCTGATAAAGGTGCGGTACGGCAAGTACAGAATTGCTGACTAAGAACAAATGTTTTACAGCCAAAGCCCCTCATAAAACTCCAAAGTCAAGCCCCAGTAACCCAATTATATGATGCATATGAATGCTCCGGTCCAATGTCAAGGAAAGAAGCATATGATGAAATGGGTGAATGCTAGAAGAGGGCAGAGAATAAGATAAACAAACAAAGTCAGCAAGGATAGAGGCAAACACATTTCTAGATCAATCGGGTCATTACAGATGATCTCTACTAGATTTGCCCTCCAACTTTCACTTTTAACACGTGTAAAAGTGACTGTATATCGTAGAATAAAACATCAAGGACTTGGGATTGGGATCAGCTTTTTCTTTTTCTTTTTTTTTTGCACCAAATAAAAGAAAAAAGGTTTTTATATACGAGTCAAACTTACCACCACTCTCATTCACCGATAAAGGAACACAACAATCATCAACAACTGGGCATTTGGTCTAGTGGTATGATTCTCGCTTTGGGTGCGAGAGGTCCCGAGTTCGATTCTCGGAATGCCCCAAATTCCCTACAAACATTTTTTGCTTCAAACGCTTGAGTTCTTTGACCTTTCTTAATTTCCAGCTGGGAAGATCTGCAAAGCCATCAATCAAAAAGCATGCATAAAATGTATACAATCGTCGAAAGAGGTTTGTCTGTTTAATAAGCTGACACAAACTTCAGTGGCTTATTGATTTCTATTCTCACAGCTGTACAGCAATCAGATCAAGTATTGGGAGTGAGGAAAAAAAGGACACAATATTCCTTAAACAATTCTCTGCTTATAAGACTCCACTGTTACGGATCACAGCTTGCCAAGACTAAAAGAATAAGTCCTCAAAACAGATCTGATTACATTTCATCTCAAATGATATTTCACCTCCACAAAGAAAAACTGTTTACACATTAACCATGAGAAAGTCAAAGGTTAATATTGCAATTATTCCACCAATTATACATGACCATCCGGGCATTTGGTCTAGTGGTATGATTCTCGCTTTGGGTGCGAGAGGTCCCGAGTTCGATTCTCGGAATGCCCCTACCATCATTTCATTTTTGCAAATACACATTTCCATGGTCTTCTTTTTGTCATTTCCCAACAATCAGGTCTTTTCTGTCATTTCTCAACAATCAAGGCCTTTAAGTAGATAGATAGTTCTGAGTCAACCGTGAATGAAATAATAGATATTAATTCAACCGTAGCTCCTAAGCAGTGTACAGCTAAACAATTCACAATAGCTTATTACCTCTTGCGTACTGGTATAGTACTATTATGTAAATGAGGCCCTAGATGGTACGCTGGCTAAACATTTAAGATCAGCATCTGCTCTTTTCAGGCTAAGTCAGTTAGCCCACATTTTGATCACCTGTTTTTATTGTAAGAGGATAAGTGAGGCCTTTCCTGGCTTTTCTTTCTATTCAAATGCGTCTTGAAACAGTCAAGACCAGCCAAGGAAAATGATACTGGACCAATTAAAGGGAACTAAGCATGCTTCTTGCTTAAGGTGCAATTCTCGGACTCTCACATCAAATGGATCACATCAACCAAGCTGATTTAAAAAGCTATTTCCCCAAGTTTAGATAAGAGTTTCAGAATCCAGGTCTCTGATAAAGGTGCAGTACAGAAGTATAGAATTACTGACTAAGAACAAATGTTTTACAGCAGTAAAACTCCAAAGTCAAGCCCCAGTAACCCAATTATATGATGCATATGAATGCTCCAATCCAATTTCAATGAAAGAAGCATGATGAAATGGGTCAATGTAAAAAGACGGCAGAACAAGATAAACAAACAAAGTCAAGAAGGAGAATGGATCTAGAGGCAAACGCATTCCTAGATCAATCGGGTCATTACAGATGATCTCTACTAGATTTACCCCCCAAATTTTTTAACACAATGTAAAAGCGACCATATATCATAGAATGCAACATCAAGTTCTTGGGATGATGCTTAGTTTTCCACCAAATAAAAGAAAAAAGATCTTATATAAGGGTCAAACTTACCACTCTCTTTCATCAATAAAGGAACACAATCATCGTCAACAGCAGGGCATTTGGTCCAGTGGCATGATTCTCGCTTTGGGTGCGAGAGGTCCCGAGTTCGATTCTCGGAATGCCCCTATTCTACAACAATTTTTTGCTCAATCACCCCAGTTCTTTGACTTATCTTAATTTCCAGCAAGCAAGATCTGCAAAGCCATCGATCAAAAAAACATATGAAATGTATATACTCCTCAAAAGAGGTTTGTCTGTTTAATAAGCTGACTCAATTTCAGAGCTTTGTTGATTTCTATTCTCACAGCTGTACAGCAATCAGAACAAGTAAATTGGGAATGCAGAAAAAAAAAAAGGACATAATATTCCTTAAACAATTCTCTGCTTAAAACTCCATTGTTAGGGATCACAGCTTGCCAAGACCAGAAAGAAGAAGTCCTCCAAACTGATCTGACCACATTTCATCTCAAAAGTTATCCCACCACCACAAAGAAAAACCATTTCCACATTAACCATGAGAAAGTCAAAGGTTTAATGTTGCAATAATTCACAAATTACATTAGCTACATTTCCACATTAACCATGAGAAAGTCAAAGGTTTAATGTTGCAATAATTCACCAATACATTAGCTATTACAGAAGCATTTGTTCAACATTTTCAATTCCCCATCTCTACGTTGTAATTTTCGGTAGGTATTTTCTTGTCCATTGGGTAGGCATGGTTTTGGTTTTTTTTTTTTTGTTTTTGTTGGGGGGGGGGGTATATCTGTTGTCATATACTGGCACCGAAACTTGAAAGCAACAGACTTAGCATCAACTACAGACAATAATCTAGAGTCCTCTTTGTCATTTTTGGGGGCTAGAGGTCCAGGCATCCTGTCCTGAACAGTTTTCAACAGCAACTCTTATTTTGCAGCAATTTAACCAGGAAATACTCTAGTAGCTAAAGAGAAACATCCCTAGGCAACATCTTTGATACTTTACATTACTACTTACAAGATTGTGGATCAAATAAGTATCAGGCATAGTTGAACCTCAACACATTTCCATAGCTGGCAACAAGCACAGTACTTTAGTAAATTAGTAATTTACTCTCATTGCTTCCAATTCTCCCTTTTGCTGAGATGACTTGCAGAGTTACCTAAGAGACCAACAAAAGATGTGATAATTAGTATTCCTTCAATAGCAAGTAAGATGAAGTGCACTAAAAACAAGCAAGCTAATATGGCAAAGTAAACCTGCCAAATTAAATGAGATCCTAAGAATCTCAAACAACCACTATTTTTTTCCTTCAAATAAAGGAGAGCTATTTTACCATCAATAAGGAGCTTCATAATAAAAATTGGGCATTTGGTCTAGTGGTATGATTCTTGCTTTGGGTGCAAGAGGTCCCGAGTTCAATTCTCGGAATGCCCCAATTACAAAATTATATTGCACAACCACCAATATTTTTACGGGCCCTCATTTCCAATTAATAACCAAACCATTGATCAGAAATCCTTAGCTTAGTGAACTACCATTCACTGAATAGAACGTCATTTGTATGATATAACTGTTGCCAAGAAAGATTCAAACCCTAACCTCTATTAATGCAATATATTTTCCTTGTAGAAGATTTATACATAATGGAGAAATACTCAATCTGAGGCCCTCATTTTGTTGGTTTCTGAAATTTTCATAATCAAGAAAGTGAACTATTGGATTCTTAACAGAATTACATAATAATACAGTACAATTTCTGCTGACAAACGGTCAAGGTTGCCAAGACTGGAATGGACAAGTTTACCAAATAGATTCACCTAATATGTTGAAGACAAAAAGGGTATTCCCATAGTAACTGTAACAAAATCCACAAGTGTGAGAACTCTATAATTCCAAAAAAGCAAGTTCAATTTCCCAACATACTAGAATTTAGAATTTGTTAAACCTTCTCATTCTCAATGTCCAAGGGCAAGGATTATTCTCATTCTGAAGCAAGATTCTCTGCATGTCCCATTCCAGACTATTGACTCACCCATCCTGAATAGTTTCTATAGCCCTTTGCAAAACTTGTATTAAGCTAGCACGAAACCTTTCAGCTAATGAGTCCTCTCAGATAGTAACTAATGGAAAGAGTGATGTCAACAATAGCATATTTGGTCTACTGATATGATTCTTGATTAGAGTGCCAGAAGTCTTAAATTCTATTATCGGAATGTCTCACCTTTTTGAAAAGAAATGACTCACCATTTTTACACAGATAAATGAGAAACTGAACAAATGAAAGCTCAAAACAAGATATGGACCTGTAAACCAATGTGAAGCGAACAAAAATCATCAGATGACTTTGGAAGCTCTTAAGGCTACCAAGTAAAAGTTAAAAAAACTAGTGACTGCAACAACTGGTGATGTTTTGGTTTCCTAGAAAAAATTTCTACAGAAAGTCAAGAAGGAGATGCAATGCACTTGATTTTTAAACCCCAATTACAAACCTAAAGGAGCCAGAAATTTATTGTATGAATTCCATAGGTGAATTTGATATTTGGGGTTCAATAAAGGTTTAAAGAGGGATAGACACGGACACAAAATTGATCATCAACTCTTATTAAGTAGCTTTCACATAAAAAGCTACACAAATACCTTTAGTTCAGAATTTACTAGAATTTCCTCTCCTTCCCAAATATAAAGCATTCCATGATCACAGATTCAGTTTAATAAGAAGTGAGAGATAAAGAGCTTTGATCATTCCACAATTGTAGACTGATTGTGAGTGATCTAGTGAAAGCAAAGCTGCAACTCCCACTAAAATGAACTAGTCACGAAGGATATGGTTAAGCAACCAGAGGGTCTTTCCACTCCAAAGAAGAATACTGTAACACATTAAATACCATGTCCATGGATATCTAGTGGGACCGATAGACTCCCTACACTTAAAATTTATTACAATGTCTGAAGTCTGAACCATAACTTAATTAGCAGTCAACACTCCTTCTGTGACTGAAAACCAATTATGAGCAAAATGAACAAGGATACTACAATCTAACAAAATATGTTTACTCGCCTACTACTCGACCTAAAGAAAGCGCAATGCAGGGATCAAAAGCTGGGCACTTGGTCTAGTGGTAAGTTTTTCGCTTTGGGTGCAAGAAGTGACTTCCTTTCCAGGAATGCCCCCAACCTTAATGCTTTTACATACTTTGGTTTCTACACTGTGCTTTAACAGAGTAAGTTGTTTTTGCCTTCTTTAAGAACTAAACAGACATAAAACCATTTCCTTTTCTGCTGTTATGGTCTAAATCAACTGGTTGTTTTTCCCCTTCTTTAAGAACTAAATGTTCTGATTGGTCAAGGCAGTTACACGTTACATACAGAATAATTGGGAATAGAAATTACCAACTAGGAAGACTAAACATACAGTTTTTAATTTTCTTTTCTTTATGTTCTCCAAGAAGGGTTAAACCTCCCAAAAAGAATAAATAATCCTTAAAATCCGACAGTCAAACCTAATCTCCTGAAAATTTCTTGATTAATCAATACCAGCAAAATAACCAAACTCACATACACACAACCAAATACACATGCACAGGTGCTTATACTCGCTGCGGAACCCAAGTAGGAAACCAAATGACAAAGAACAACACTTTCGAAATATTACCCAAAAAAAGGAAAAAAGAAAAAATTGGGCACGACCCAAAAAACAAACCCGTTAGACCGACTAAAGTATCTTGGTACTTATGTGAAATATATCGAACGAGATAGGGGGGAAAACAAAACAACCCAGGCTAAAAGATTCAAACAACGCTAGTATAAAATAGAAGATGGCAAAAGTACCTTCTCGAACAAATTCTTCTGCAGAGTGAGAGGTGGTGAGGAAGTGAAAACGCCCAGTATGAAGAAAACGAAAGGCCAAAATTAGAAATTTGAGTATCCCATTCTTACTTGCAGAATGATCTTAACTTAGGAGTTGCGATGGAGGCGGAAGTAGAATCTACTGGATACTGCTGATTAAGATAATTGCGGAGGTGTGTCGGAGGGTACGATAATTGATTTCCATTAATGTTGTCTCACTCTGTTGTGGGAATTTAATCAATAATCCACTCTTCCGAAATCACCCTTCAGATAAGCGGGTGAAGTTGGGGGAACCGAAGGGCTTTGCTGTCATTCAGATCAATTTGTGAAAATAAACAACTTATACGTTGGTGGGGTAGTCATCTTAGATAAGTTTTTGGTCTCTGGATCGAAAGTTTAAGGTTGTGTTTGGATTGCATTTTTCGTTACACGGAAAAATTACTGTAACGATTTGATATATGTGAGGGAAAAAAGTGATAGGGAAATGTGATCACAAAAAACGACAATATTTTCCGACAGAAACAAGCAATCCAAGCATGGCATTAAACTCGCACCTTACACTTGCCAGTTTGGCACTTGAGTTTTTTGTCAAGTGTCTATTACAAATTTTTTAAAAATTTTAACTATAATAATTTCAAAAAAAATTTCAAAATTTTTAACCTATCCACTTCAAAATATTTAAAAATTTACACTCTTCAAAAAATTTTTAAAAAACTTTTACAATAAAATTTTAGACAAACATCCAAAAAACTCACTTGTCAAACAGGAAAAGAAAAAATCAAGGAGCTTACTAGAACAACCTTTTAAAGAGTATGCCATAACACCCTTTCAGCCTAGATAAATTTGTCTTTCCTCTTACTCCTTATAACCGAGAATTTTGAATGGGTTCAAATCAAAAAATCTGAATTGAAAAAAAGGATAATCAATGTGTAATTTTTAAAATGGGCCCAAACCTACTTAGAATTAGAAAAATAGGTTAACCTATGTTTGGATATCAATTTTTTTCAAAATAATATTTCACTTGCATCATAAACACATTTTTCAACAAATATTTTTATATTTCTAACTAGCTTTTTATCTCACATACATCATATCATAAAAAGTGCAACTGTAATTATTTCAAATAATTATTTGGAATAATGCTCATATCCCTGACACTGTAATTGCATAACTTTTACAACTTAATTGATTTGTTGGATTTCCAAAGTATCGGAATTGCAAGTTTAGGACCTCAGGTCCCATTTGGATTGCTATTTTTAAAAGTATTTATAAACCTACCCAAATACGTGTAAGGTTATAGGGCTCGTTAGGATAATCAGTACCCAAAACTCAATCCAAAATTGTTTAGCCATTAATTAATAATTTGACTTAGAAAGACCATTATACATTTTTTTTAAAATTTTATGAACTTATCTACCCCATCATAGCTCCCGTTTACCTTTTTCATATCCCACTAATTTCATTTACTTTGCTGTTATTTTTTCTTCTCCAAAAATTCTTTTGATTTCTCATAAATTTTATCCACTTCATCACTTCACTAACTATTTTGTTTTTAATTTTTAATCAAGGTATGGAATGCAAATTTGTCGAACCAATACATGAGATTAAGGTCAGCAAAATTGCAAATAAACTAATTACTAGATGATCCATAAATACCCTGACTTGAACCCCTCTCTAGGAAGTGCTACTAGAAATTACTCTAGAATGCCCAGGCAGGCAGAAGTGATAGTAGGGCTAGTTTCAAATTCATTTTTGAGTTGAAGTTCGAATGTAATGCGAGTTTAAAATTTAAGATCAAATTTGATTCAATCTAATATTGGATGGACTCAAATTTGAATCAAGAGTAAATAAAATTTTAATTTTTTGATTTTATTTTATTATTAGTAGGTATACAAAATCTATATACTAATATAATATGTGCAAACCTTTATATAAATCTTAAAGAAAATGTTTAAATAAAAAATTTATTTGAATCTTAACAAGTTGAATATGTACAAATATGAATTCATTAACTTAATCAATCGGTGTTCATTGTTTAAATTCAAACTCAAACTCATCAAAATTTGAACCTGAAGTATTCATTAAGAGCTCCACTTGCGAGCAGCCCACTATCGACTGCCTATTTTGTTTTTAGTGTGGCAATGATCCTCGGCTGAGGCAGTGGACCATCCCACTTCGCAATATGGACCCAGCTCTTTTGGTCCATCTCGGTTTTGATTTCGTTTAATAACTTTATGGGTGACAAATCAAAGAAAACTAACGGCCCAAATCGCTCAGGTTTAATTGTTTCAGGTTCTTGATTTTGGAATTTGACGTATGGAGCAGAAAAGAAGTAATGTCAAAAGCCTGCCTGACGTTTGTGACATTATCACAATATTTTCTGAACTTTCAAAAATATCACCTATCTGGCATATTTTTATTGTTAGTTTATCAAACCATTTCAAAAAAGTATAATTAAAAGATCATTTATGGAAAGATAATGAAATTGCCCCTTTACTGTCATATTATTTTTCCAAACATGAAAATATATTACTAAAAGTTCGACAAGAAAGGCAAATAATGTGGACTATGAAGGTGTAATTCTAATAGGATAAAATACATTGGTATGTTTATTTAGGTACAAAAATTAATTGTTAAGAGTATGTTTCAGGTGTTTCAAGCAAAACAAAAAATATTTCTTTTATTATAAATTGTTTTTGGTCAACTTGAGGAGTTTTAAAAATTTTTGGCATTTTCTGAATTTTTTGTATAGATAAATGACTTGAAAGTTAGAAAAGGGCAAAATATTTAAAATTATGTTTGTAAAAGCATTTAAGGCATTTTAAAGAACAAAAAAAATTTATTTTCTTTATTGCAAAGTATTTTTGGATAAATATAAGGATTTTTTAGATTGTTTAGATTTTTTTCAACGTTATAGCTTTTTGTGATCTAAATCAATGGCTTGAAAACAAGAAAGGAAAAAATTATTAACAATACATTTAAAAACTTATTTGAGGTGATTTCAATGTGTAAATAGTTCTTTTTATCACTGTAAAAATTTTTGGGTGACTTTTATGAGTTTTCTATATTATTTAGAATTTCTTTTTCTTTTTTTTTTTGACATTTATTTTCTGGATTGATGACTTATAAAACTGTAAAGGTATTTCAAACTCATTAACATGTTGTCATTCTTCATAAAATTAAGGAATTAACTTGGCTTGTTATGAAAACTAAAGATCCACAAGAAAATGATAATTTTGAAATGGAAATGCCTTATTTCTCACAAAATGAGTTCTTAAATCAAATTTTTTTGAAATGAATTGACAAAGTTACAAGAAATAAATAAAAAAGAAGGAAGGTGAATAATATTTTTCAAACAAAAACTTGGGGGAAACCGGCAGATCGAGGGTGTGTTTGGGTTGAAATAAAATAATTTGTTTCACAAATTTCAATTATTTTTTTATCTTTCCAATCACTATTTTATCTCACATACATTACATCGAAAAAAGTACTACAGTGATTATATCAAATAAATCATCCAAATAAATTTCTATCCAAACAAACTCCAGTTCACCTTCCAAACACAAACATATACCATAGATCAGAAATCATGCCAAAAACAAATAAATTTGGATTCTTTACACCAATTTCAGTAGCTTCATCGGATCTTATGTTCTGCAATCAGTTGAAACTCTTGAAAATTTCCTCCTCTCTATTTCTTGACCATCTCTCCGGAAGCTCAGCAATTCCTTTTCAGAATCCCTTTTCTTCACAACCGGGCTCTTCAAGAAAGGGTGATGAGTATTTTAGGTTCATAAACACTTCATTTTTCAAAAATTAAAATTTTTTTCTTCTTGAATCCCCAGCGCACTGTTAAATACTTCTCCATCCTTTGTTTGTCGAATCTTCCCGTTCTCCTACCGCCGTCCTCCTGTTCCTCCATATTCTTCTCCTAAGTCTCGCAAAATCTAACCAAATATTACAAGCTGAATATAAGCAAAAATTAAAAAGAAAAGAAAAATAGAGATTGTGTTTGCAGATCCCAAAAACGGGGGTGAGATGGAGTGAACAAAGCTGGAAGGACCCCTAACTTGGAAAATTGTTGCAATTGAATTTTTCTCAGTGGTGGTAAGTGTTTCAAAATGACGAGAAAAAAAAAAAAGGCCTACGGGTGAGAATGCGGCAGATTTCCACCACACGGTCTAGGGGTGGGCCCACAAACCGGGTTCACCCAAGTTTTTTTTTGGCCTATTTTTCAGAGTCTAAGAATACCGAATGATGATATTTAGTTTGTGAAATTTTCCCAACAGAAAACCTTAGAGTAAAGCCGAAAGACGTCCTTTGGCAAGCTTCAGTGTCCGTGGGCGCCCAGGGAACCTTCCTTCACTCTGCGCCAAAACAGGATGCTTCCCGGAAGCATCACAACTTCGCAGGTTTCGTTGTGTGCTCAAACAGACGAATGATATGATCGAATGCTAAAACAACTTCTCTCCAGATTGCTATATATATATACGTCAGCTTCTCCTGAAAGAGTTGCGCTATTTCCTCGTCCAAGTACTTGTATCCACTGATTCTACTACTTGTATCCATTGATTCTACTGTGAGCCTAATGCAGTCCAATTAATTAATGTTAGATAGCCACAAGTTTACTGTGGGTGGGCAGTAAATCAATAAAATTCATGGGTTATTTGACGGCGATTCTTGATGGGGTGAGTTTCTGCATTTCAACTATATGGCAACTTCAAGAAATGCGTTTTGCAGCTATTTTTGATGACTTTAGTTGGGTGGCCATGTCCCTGATGTCGGCTGCTGTATCATGCTTTCTTGCCGGGAGAAGTAGAAGACGAAGAAGAAGAAGAAGAAGATATCCTGCAATTCGTTACTTGCCTTAGCTCGTCACGGCTGCTGTATCATGCTTTCTTGCCGGTAGAAGTATAAGACCAAGAAGAAGATATTCTATGCAATTCATTACTAGTCTTAGCTCGTCTTCAAAAAATATTTTCATGTGCATGGAGTAATGATATAATTGAAAAACAAATTTTCTAATATTTTCCAGTGCATGGAGCAGTCTTAGCTCGTCTTCGAAAAAACACTTTCGTGTGCATGAAGCAAGACATCGTGACATGAGCTGCGTCAGCCGGGAGTCGAACCCGGATCTATTGCTTGGAAGGCAATTATCCTGACCGTTGGACTACTGACGCGCCGTGGACACTGAAATAGTTTTAAGAACCAAATGTATTTCCGAAATCTGATGGCACTTGTTTCTCGACTTTCTTTTGCATGAACGTGACGTAGCGCGTTCCTTTTTCCTGCATGCATGTAGCACTTAAACAATGCATTACATAATTGATAGGAAATATTAATGTTAACCAGATGAAGGTATTATGGCTTTCTTTTGCAGATGATTAATAAAATTAGCCTGATACCGTAGGGTTCGGCGCGCGAATTAATTCTTCGACAGATTAGAAGATAATCATCCACTATTGTTCAAAATTTCTCCCTACATAAATGTATTGCTTTAACCTTGGCGAACAAGTCACTAGTTCAGCGTGAATTTCTTAATTCAAGAAAAGCTGATGGAGGAGAACTTGACATCCAAAGTTGCCTGGTTTGTTGTTGGAGCCACATTAAATTTCATTCCCACTGAGGAGGATGAACTCGGCATAGCTGGATGACTTATTATAGCTTCATAATCTCCATGATAAAGTGAAGTCTCAAAATGGCCCTCATCGTCTGTAGTGCCTATCAAATCCTCATGCTTCAATTCCTTGATGATCTTGTCAACAACGTCCCCTGTTGGAAGGTTTCTGAAGTTATTGTCCGTCAAACACATTCGATAACATCCCTGAGGAGACCATGCAGCCCAGATTAGTAGCCCTTGAATGGCTGGATGTCCCCGAACCTCCCTTATTATTTGATCCAAGTACGTGGCCTGCCCCAAATAATACTAAGTAATTAAGAGAAGTCCTGTCTCAAGTTAAGAGAAATCATGTCATGTGCACTCTGACTAAATTTACCTCTATCAGTTTAAGATGTGTAATAAAGAATTTGATGAAATGAAAAGACTTAGATGACATGGTTCTATCGCCGAATACGTCAGTAGATATATGCACACAATTTCATTATTCTGACATTGTCTCAGTACGCGAGGCTTATCTCTTCAACGCTTCTTGCTGAATGCATGTTCACCATCCAACCAAATTGGCCGGAAAAAAAAAAAAACAGATAAGAAAGACTATAAACTTTACCTGATTGGGCTGGCTAGAGACATCCAATTCCGTAACCCAAATAGGTAATTTTGTGGAAGCAAGCAAATCAATTGAAGTCCTTACATAAGCTAGGTCCGGAGCACCGAAGTGTCCCTCGAGTCCAATTCCAAGCGGTCCCTGGTAACCCTGTGACCGAATTTCTTTAATTTTTGCCAGATACTTTGGAGGACTCGATGTTTGGTCATCTTTCTTCTCAATTGTATTGTAGTCATTTAAGAAGGGAATTGCCTTTCCATCAATCTGATTAGCCTGTCCATAAAACACAGATGATGCAGTTTCCCCCAGCTTACTCTCAAAGAAATTGTGGTGTATATTTTCATTAACCACGTCCCAGTGAACGAGCTGTCCCTTGTATCTTGTGACTATAGAATTTACTCTTTTAGTGGCCACTGCTTCTAGATCACCTGGGGAAAGGGCTTGAACCCATGATGGATTATACTGAGGATCGTCCCACAAAACATTGTGGCCACGGACTACAGCCCCGTTCATCGTGGCAAACCGTAGCAGGGTATCAGCGACTGAGTAGTCTTCTTTACCAGGAGACGTTTCAGTGCTGTACCACTTCATTTCATTTTCAAACACTGTTAACCTAAATCTCGACGTAAACCAACTTTTGTATGCTGGATTGGGCAGGATGTTCTTGTTAATCGCGCAACCAAATGGAAAGTTGCCTATCAGCTGTCGTATGGATATGCTTGCATTGGCTAATGGCCGACCTTGAGGATCCACTGCCCGGAATATCACCTTGCTCTTGCGTACCTGCACGTTGAAAGAGTTAAATAAAATAAACTTGAAATGGTCATGTATTGATGGCATAATCCCGACAATCATTTTTTCTCATTTTAATTCTCCATGTTTCTCATGTGGTATGTAGGCTCTAGGGATGGATATATGAGCACTGACTTTTTCTTTTTTGAGGTAAAACGAATGAATTTTTATTGATTAGGAAATAAAGCTTACACACGGCAGCAGAGAATACCTGTACATTTTAAAGAACAAACCCTATTCATGTCCCAAGAAACTGACTTTTAATGAGCTAAAATTCTCGTTGATTCAGAAGATTTCGATACTCAAACTTTGTCTACATTATTTACAGTTCGGAAGTGTAAAAAAATTACACCATTTTAAGTGATGTTAATTTTGTCATTTCTTAACAAAAATTAAACATTCAAATGCACACTAAATATTAATTAATTGCTCGCGCAACATGATGAAGTTATATATACATTTTATGACATGCGACCTTTCGACAATTTGAACTTTAAATTTGTGTGAACCAAATTTAGTTGGTTTACCTTCTCAATGGTTTGATCTTGGTGAGCTTTCCATTCATCTTCGCTGAATGGTTGCAATGAAATGCTATCCACCCACAGCTCAACGGTTGCATTTTCACTCTGGATAACCCGCAGCAAGAAAACCAAATAGTGCGAATTAGACCCGTAATTTATATTTGCCGAACCTTTTGTGTATGGACGGCACAAAATATAATTAATTGTCCAATCGTAAAAAGATAGAAGTTAATTACAAGAATTGATAACTATGAGTAGAGGTGTCAAAATGGGTGACTTGGGCGAGTTCGAATTGGATAAAATGGGTAATAGGTATAAGTGAGTCAACCCATTTATACTCATTTAATTAGATGGGTATAAAAGAGTAAGTTAAAAAATGAATTGGGTAACCCAATTACCCATTTATAACCCATTTATTTTAACTTTTTGTAAACTCATTTAAATTCATTTTTGCAAACTAAGTTATCAATATATACCGCTTTTTGCACCCATCATTAGTTTTAAATATTTACTTATAATGCTCAATAAGCCTAATTATCAATTTTTTCTCCATCCATACTCTATGTCGCAAAATTACATATTATTTAATAATTGAATAATAAGAATATAAAAATTTGAACTAAGTACTATGAAATTTAATATAAAAACTTAATCTAAAAATTTTGAACCCCTAACATTTTTTTCATATATAACTATGAGCATATGACCAAAAAAAAAAAAGAAAAGACATACACGAAAATGGAGTTGGGCAGGGCCAGAGGCATTCACAACTAGACCGCCCTTAAGCATAGACCAACAGCCAGATCGCGCAAAAACTGTGCCAGCATTTTTAATGCCGGTAGATGTTTTGAATGCTGCTGTTATTGGAGAGTTTCCCTCGCTAATCCGTAACCAAGCTGCAATAGATGAACGGATTATGCTAATAGAATCATATGGGACAAATACGAGTTAATTGGAAATGGGATAAGAATTAATCATCCTCATCGCACGAATTTATTAGAATAAATTACCGGAAATAACGTAGAAAGTTCCCTTTCTCAAGAAAAAGGTCTGCGATGGACTGTCGTGCAATGCATTTCGATCAGAAGCAGCAATGAACTTGTTGCCATCTTTTGAAATCCTTAGTTCTAATTTTGCATCTCCAAACTTGGACCAGCCGTTTAAACCTTCACTTATGTCCGGGTTTAGAACAATTCCGCCACCATATTGAGGTTGAAGGGGATTCGTCAAACACTGGAAAATTGATGCGTTCATTGTCAAAGATAGTATATTGATTTACATTCGGAGAAATCAATTCATGTACAAAAAACAGCGCTCAAGTCACAATAACTACAGTCAAAAACTTGCCTCTGAACTGAAACTGTAATCATAATCGAGTCCATTAACTTCAATCCCTGCAAAACATACCCAAGAAAGAGGGAGGGATCACACACACACACAAAACCTAAAAGCATTACTGGCTAGACTTCAACCTAAAATCTGCACGACCTCCAATAGTGATTCGACTCTTTTTTCAATCTTTTAATGCTTTATATTGGCTCAGATCCTATGAGTTTGGCTATTCAGATTATGAGTCTGATAGTGCAGAGATGATAGAGAGCAGGGTTCAAGACAAGCTCTATCGGCTGCCATTTCCAGAACCGTGGATCATTACCGTGTGCGATCCTTTTTTGACAACTAGGACCAGGACATAATAATAACAACAATAATAATTATAATAAACAAAAAGCTACGATAGCTCCTCAAAGCAGCTACCAATGATGATGAATCTAATATGAACTCAATTGAGGATGAGGATTTTGCAATTAATGGTCACTCGAGATATCAAATGTTTATATATGAAGTACAGAAGAAATTCCTGCATCAATTGAGCCTTTTAGAGGTCAGTTATGAAATTTATTCTATTACTACATCTGATAGTCTTGTTGCATATCCAATTCTAATAAGGATTTATTAAGCAAGATGAGGGAAATTAGCATTCGGATACATAGGGTGGTCATGTCCCGTCCCTTCTCTAGTCACTCCTTTTCTTCTTTTCTCTAAATGAAAGTACAGGCTCTCAATACGGAAGTGCAATGGAAACAAACCTGAAGAAACAAGATCACACAACAGCCATAGGAGCACATGCTTGTAAAGCTTCAAAGTCGTCATGGTGATTTTAGCGTGTGATGCTACAAGACAAAGTTAAAGTAGGCAGAAAAATACATAATCATTTATATTCAGTGAGTGAAGATATCGGTAATGTGAAAAACATATTGTTTGTACCAGGACTGGATTATAACACAAAGTTAATGCTTTAGTTTCTTTCACAGTTGTAACACGTCTATACGTACATAGCCAATGCTCAATATATAGAAGGTTTCTAATTTCCCTGTACATGCGCTTCACCTTGCAAGCATGTTTGCTGTATAGGCTCAACTTTGTCCTTTAATTTAAAGAGTTACTCCAGATTGATTACCAATAGCATTATTTTGAATCGTGAATTTGGTTCGTGGAAATTGCAATATTGCACGACGAAAGATTGGTCCTCAATATTACTTGCCTAGAATGAATCATTTTATGATCCTGCTTCCTATTTACAACAGTTATTTTATGGTTATCACTTGATTAGTGGGATATCCTAGAATTAATGGTCCCAATATTTCTTTGATAGCTGCATGAATCATTTTATGATCCTGCTTATTTTATGGTTATCACTTGATTAGTGGGATATCCTAGAATTAATGGTCCCAATATTTCTTTGGTAGCTGCATGCATGATTACCATTTTGGTTAACAACCACCTATATACAGGTTCAGAAAAGTTTTATACAGTTCAAAAAGTTTACTATATATTGTCAAGAGAATCTCCTATTGAAATTAATATATTACCTTTAATCTGGTACAAAAGCGTTCAGATTTTTTCCATAAGGAGCTTATTACGTTGTTTTACATTAATAATTGAGAATTAAGAAAGGAGTTGGGCATGGAGTTGGGCTGTTGGGAAATAGGGAAAGCTTGGACTCACACATATGCATATTGAATTCTGATGTGCAAATTTTTTCTTTTGATGCGCAGTTAATATAAGAGCTTCGTTTACAAATTTACTAACTACATTTAAATTGAAAGGTGGCATAAGCCAGCTTTGTCGAGTCATAAGACGGAGTTTTTATGCTCAACGTTTCTTACATTCCCTTCAGAGATTTAAGTTTTTATGCTGTTCGAGGTTTCCAAAGGGCAGCTACCTGATTATGAGAAGCGGTAATTTTTCCTTCTAGGGTTGTGATGGTGGACCAACAGAGTAAATTCGCAAATTCAGGTGGTTGTTAGAAGGAGTTTTCGAGTTGTTAAACTCTGATCGGATAGTGAATCGGCTAAATTATTAGATCAGGAGTCAACTCATCGAATCATTTAAATCGTTCTCATAAATTTGTTGACGTCACCATGATGTCAAAATTATTTTACATTTTTATAAGTTTTAGAAATATTAAAATTAAAGTTCTTGGTTACATTCAGTCAATCATACATAATGTTCCAAAAATATTACGCTTTAAATAGAAAATACACCTAAAAATTATGCATGAAAATGTGAATTTATGTTTACAATATGTCCATTTTCTAAAACTACTTGAAAAACTAAATTAAAACAAATCATACCTAATTTGATATTTTTTTTTTGTTGAGAATATCGCTTTATAATGCAAGTTAGAATCATTGATGAGAAATTGATAAGATGATAGGGATGGAAACTTCTTAATTTAGATATCATTTAGGAAAGCAAGTGATTTAAGTGTTTACACAAAGTGGGTGGCATTTTCTTATTCCTATTAATGAATGAAAGTTTTACAATTTTGGTAATTCAAATTATGTTTGGAGAAAATAAGAAAAAAAATTTTGTGAACCGGATCAAGCAATCGAATCAGGTTAGTATTGCCTAATTTTTTATGGTTTGAATGGTTTTTGACCAAAACGATTTTGTGCTACTAACCAATTCGAGAAAAAGGTCAATTCATGGTTGGACCAACCGATTCGATCTGGCTCTAATAACACTTCATTGCATTTGCATTCAGCAAATACATTTTTCACCTTTTGAGAAAAGGTTAGAAAACTGCCATCCTTTATGAATTTCTTTAAAAAATCAATTTTCGAGAATTTACTGTGGACGAATACTCGTCATATTTTAGGTGTAAAATTTTTTTGAGTTCCTTGAGCTTCTGCATACTGATTCATCTTTGATTAAGAAGATAACAGTCATTGTGAAGAATTCTTATCTACTTGGGACTACGGGTGATAAACATACATTTGCTCTAGTTCTTTTACAATAATGCAAATGTTAAGTTAATTTTACCTCTAGTTTTATTACAGATAAAACGTGCTCTTTTGTGTGAACTTTGTAAAGTTGGCATATGGTTCTTCTTAATTTAGTTTTTGCTCGTTTTATTTTTCCTTATCATCCATGCACACTTCATCATTGAAATAAAATTTTTTTTTTACACATACAAGGATCACAAATAAGTGGAGAAGGATCTTCCACTGTACAGGTAGTAATTAATTGACCAAAATGCAGATTTAGGTAAAGAGCAGAACTGTTATAGTAGTTTGAGATTTTTTACACGATCGATTGTTGCAAATCCCTTTGCTAGAAAGGAGGAATATTGCAGCTTCAGAAATAGTGTAATATATATACATTGCTACTATCACGCTGTAAATTTTTCTGACAGGCTATTGAATCTAATGCAGCGTACATCTTTAGGAACTGTTAAGCTAAAATGAAAAGCGAAAGATAGGCGGATGTAAAATGGGCCACACAATGGGCTTCAGTTTCTTGTATGGACTTCAGAATGTTCTACCAAGACCAAGAATAAGCTCAGACACTCCTACAGGCCCAAATGTTCTACGAAATTTAACACCCGCTCAATTCTGTTGGTTTTTTCGCGGCTTTGGCCCTTCCCCTTCCTTCTCTTCCCAACCAATTTTCGTTTCAGATTCTCTCTGTCTCTCTGTAAAATGGCCGAAATTTCGAAGAGAACCAAAAGCTCAGAGGTCTCAGTCTCGGATGACCGATCTTCTCAGCTTAAGCCATTGGGCATCCTATCACGCTTTCTATACTGACGCCAACGCGGGTTCCTTTTATGTTCCTGATGACTTAAAGGAATACCGTAATAGTGAAACTAACAAGAAAAGGTCTGGTACTGTGGCCTTAATATGGCTTTGATTCATTGATGCACCGGTCATCTTTTTCCGCTGACCCTATAATATTCACACGAGTTCGAGAATGTAACACACACACACACACACACACACATATATATATATATATATATATATATATATATATATATATTTATGTATCTAGTCGGTGAAAATGTTGTCAAAGATTAGTGTAAGCTTGTAATGTTTTGATGTACTATCTTTGTACTGAATCAGTGTATGCCAACACTTATATAAACTGACAGTGTATACACTATAATCATTAGATTCATGACATGTGTATAAAAGTTAAATTTCATATTTAAGTTTACAATAGTTGTTATTCATCCAATACTGATGGTGTATACATTGTCAGTGTAGGAAATATTAATTCATATATGAAACAAAAAAGTGATTAAAAAATCCATTTAAAAAAAAAAAAAATATATATATATATATATATGTAAAAATTTACAATCCAAACAAGCCCATTCATTAACACGGTTGATTGTCGTAAATGCTTATACTAAAGGGAGAGAAAGACCGCGGCATCGCGCTGCCAATTTTTCATAGATGCGTAACGAAAAGCAGAAGAGAGGCCGATATAAAACGGACCATATGACGGGTTTCAGTTTTGGAGCGGACTTCTAATTTTTCCAACTACAGCGACAAGGCAGGGAGACAACGCCCCAGGCCCAAACGTTCCAATAAAATTAAAACTTCACTGTTTTGTTCATTTTTTCGCGGCTTCGGCCATTCCCCTTCCTTTCCTTCCCCACCAATTTTCGTCTCTCATTCTCTCTCTCTCTCTCTAAATGGCCGAAATCTCAAAGAGCAGCGAAAGCTCACTGGTCTCAGCCTCGGATGCCTGCTGTTCTGAGCTTAAGCCATGGGAATCCTATCACACTGCCTACACTAACGCCAAAGCAGGTTCCAATTTATTGTTACATCAATTGCTCCTTTAAAAAAAAATATATATATATTTTTCGTGAGGTTTAAAAATTGGTACTTCAGATTCTAAATTCTGAAAGTTTTTTCTCTTATGCAATTTGAATTTTGAAGTGTGGATTTTATGATATAAGGACCTATGTGTGCCCAACTGATTTTGTAGTGAATGTGCTCATGCCATGAATTTTGGGCTAAAATTTGTAGGTATGGAAGGGGTGGATAAGGAAAGAGTGCAGAGAATAGTTTACGAGATGAGTAAAGGTTCTAAATATTTTGAGAATGAGGAAAGAAAGGAGGCTTGTATGATGCAGAAAATCGAAAACATGCGCGCCCGTTCCGCTAAGCTCACTGCTGCTGATTTGTCTCACTATCAGAAGGTAGCGTGTAAATAGATTGAACTTTTAGAAACAAAGTTAAATTAACTCTTGATCATGGTCAAACTAAAAACGCATCAAGAGTGTTTTTTTTTTTTTTTTGGCTTGGTGGATTGGGGGAGGGGGGGGGGAAGAGGTGGATGTTACTAAGAATGTGCGTGTTTGGCAACGTACAGGTTGCTGATAAGAAGATTTTAGAGCTGGAAGCGCATCGTGATTTATCGAGGATTTGGCTGCATGTAGATATGGATGCTTTTTATGCTGCTGTTGAGACATTATGTAATCCCGCACTACAAGGCAAGCCCATGGCTGTTGGTAGCATGTCTATGATCTCGACAGCCAATTACGAGGTTTGATTGGCTGTGCTATTTTCATTTAGGCAGTAATTTGATCTGGGACCATGAATTCTATTTTTGATCAGAATTTTTGGTTTGATGAGTTTAGTTTTCTCGTAACAGGCAAGGAAATTTGGTGTACGAGCTGCTATGCCTGGATTTATAGCACGTAAATTGTGTCCTCAATTGATTTTTGTTCCTGTTGACTTCAAGAAATATACCCATTATAGTGAATTAACAAGAAAAGGTCTGGTACTGTGGCCTTAAGATGGCTTTGATTCATTGATGCACCATTCATCTTTATCTGCTGACCCTATAAATTCACCTCTTGACCTTAGTTTTCTATGAATATGATCCCACCTTTTTGGGTGCAAGTTTGGATGAGGCATACCTGGATATAACAAATGTCTGCCAAGAAAGAGGCATAACTGGTGCAGAGGTATGTTAGTGCGTGTCTTGATATTTTCAAGCGCTCTGTCCTTGCTGTCTCTTGGCCATTTGGTTTCACTTCCTTTCATCAATATAGATGCTTTAGTTTGATTATTGACTTTTTCTCTTTTGTTGTGCTTTTGTAAGGTGGCTGAGGAGCTCAGGAAGAATGTCTACAATGAGACGGGCCTTACTTGTAGTGCTGGAGTTGCACCAAATCGCTTACTTGCTAAGGTGTTCTGGACTTAAGAAAGCAAATCACGAGAGATTAATCTGCATATTACATGTTCACACATAATTTGCACATTCATCTGCTATAACTTTTACGAGTCTAGGATTAGATTGTCATGCTCTTAAACTAAACCTGGCAAACTTGTAATACAAGCTTCTAGAGCATATGGTTTTGGCAGGTTGTAAGCAGTTTATATACACTTCAGACAACAGTTTTGTGGAAGAATTTTTACATAGTGCAAAGATCTTCGGGGATACGTTGTTGGAGGTTGATTTTGTTTGTTTGAATCATGATTAGCTTTTAGATTTTTAATTGAGCAACATATCAGCAAGGTTTAATGCCAAAGCATCTGCCAAGCTCCACTTTAAGAAGGTCTTCTTCCCTTTTTTCCTTGTAGTGATTCTCTGAGTTTGTATAGGCAATTGCACCTTATACGTGAGCTACAGTTCCATGTTGTTTGCTAAAGAGTTTATTGTAGATTTTTGCTTAGAGAAGTTGTTTGTTTTTTGAGTTTTATCCTTGGGAAGGAGGGAGTCGTAAAATTCTAGCCTCTTTCACTATAAATAGGCATTGAAAACAGTTACTTTTACCAAGTTCTCAGATTCAAATCTCCTTTTCCCTTTCTCTATGTCAAATTTGCTTTATAAATATCGTGATATTGCTTTGTTCCTTCTTTTTCACCAGGTTTGCTCTGATATTAACAAGCCAAATGGTCAATTTGTACTACAGAATGATCGCATGGCTGTCATGACATTTATTTCTTCACTTCCTATAAGAAAGGTAAAATTCTGCATTCACTATTTCCCTTTCTCTTTTTGGCTGCTCACAGCATTGATGGGTTAAATTTTTGCCCAAGTTGGCAATGTTATATCTTTTCTGAATTTTGTATTCTCCATCTTATTTGCCCAAATGTCATATGCAGATAGGGGGGATTGGCAAGGTAACTGAACAGATCTTAAAGAATGTCTTTGGAATTACAACATGCGAGGAGATGCTGCAAAAGAGTAGTTTTCTCTGTGCACTTTTCTCCCGCTCTTCATCAGGCATGTTCTTGTTTTGGCTTATGTTATGATTTTTCTTGAGCATTCTGCATCAAGTTCACATGTACTAATGTTTTTGCCTCCTAATTGCAGACTTTTTCTTCTCAGTTGCTCTGGGACTTGGGGGAACCGATACCCCTCAAATTAGGTTTAGGAAAAGCATAAGCAATGAAAGGACATTTTCTGCCACTGGTGATGAGGAATTGCTTCACAAGAAAATAGGTAAATGTTTTATGTGATTTTCAATTCTCTCTTGGTATGCTATCTAAGTGGTGTGTATCCTGTAGGAAGTGAGTGAGGATTTGTTGTCGATTATTTTTCTTTGTAATGGAGCTTAGTGTGGACAGAAACTAATATTTAATCAGATGAAGGTTTACAGACTGGTGAAACTTAAATCAAAGACCATATCACTTAGCTTTTTGGCATCCTTTGCTTATGTTTGTGCATTGACTTGATGGATTTTTTTTCTTATTTGACTATATTGTGAAACGTTTATTGACTGGGCTTCAGGACATGCTTGGATGTTTGATACATAAACATCAAGAATTGATTTGAACATTTATAAATTTTTTCACTATTTTTATCACTTTTATGCCTACCAATTTATCACTATTTTATTCTCTTGATGGAAGTTAAAGAATTTCGAGTGCATTTCAAGGCATTGATGACCTGCATAGGGACACTGCTTGTCTCTCTGTCTTCCCACATGTTCTAGATGCTAGCAGACATTATAAATCCTAAAAACTGACTGCAATTGCCTTCTCACAATTTGCTTCTAGCTGCATGTTTTGGTAGAATGCTTTTTCCTTTTTGTTATTGGACATCTAGATTACTTTATTTTCACTTGTGGATTTTAGAAAGTTAACCGGGGTTTTAGTACATTATCGTTGTGTTCCTTGAAATTAATGCTTATCCTGTTGCTTTCACTGCTTTTTCTTTTCAAAACCCTTTTATCACTTGATCGTCATTCAACTGCTCCTCAACTTGTCATTGCAGTGGATCTTGCTGAAATGCTTTCTGCTGACATGAGAAAAGAGGGCATTAGTGGAAAAACATTGACGTTAAAGTTGAAAACTGCATCCTTTGAGGTACTTCTGCAGCAATGTCAAAAGCTCGGGCCTTGTATTAGAATGTTGCAGTAGCCAGCCTTCTAAGCTGACTATCGTTGCTGCTTTCCTATTTACGTCTTCACCCTAATTCTTTTTTTTCCCTTCTTTTTGCAATGCTTCTGTCGTTTTATGCACTCTATATATCTCTGCCATCTTGAAAAGATTTGTTTTTTTACTCTCCAAACTGCTTAAAGTAATAACTAGTGGTCCATCACTGTTTATTCAAGGAATCAAATGTCTCACTTGACTGAAAATTTGCAACCCAGGTCCGGACGCGTGCTGTAACTTTACCAAATTTTATAAGCTCCAGTGAGGATATTTTGAAGCATGCTTCAAAACTATTGAAGGCTGAACTCCCTGTATCTTTGAGACTGATAGGTATGGAAACAATTTCATGGTAGTACTACTCATATGGTTATACCAAGTGAGGAATTCCCCCTTTATTTTCTTATAATTTGTTTCCTCTCTTCTTGCACTTCCATATACCTTCACTTTCTAAACAAGATGAAGTGATTATGAGATTCTTCACTAGGTATCTATGTGACTCCATCCTTGCTTCCTCCTTCCAGCAAAGTATCTTGGTAATAATGATGCCACCCGATAGGGATACTGCGGATGTGTACATTCATGAAGCCTTTGTTATAATCTAAGGATGATTGACAAGAATTTACTTTTTCTTCTTTGTAGGACTCCGGATGTCTCAGTTCAGTGATGACAAAAATGATGTTCCTTCTGATCCTACACAAAGAACTCTTTCCAACTATGTCATTCCGGGAGGTCCTTCCAGAAGTAATATCAATGACAGCATGCAGTTGGGCTCGGAAATTAGTGATAGTGCTTTTTCTATTGACACAGATGGAGATTTTCCAATTGACAGCCATGAGAGATGTTCTGAATCAGTGGATGCAAGCAATTATGACCAAATGACCAATGTTCCTGTTGGGAACTGCATCCTGGGGCAGAAGACTGAAGAAGTTTGGAGCAATGTTGAACTTCCGACCAATGAGGTGACAGAAAATGTATACTATAGCTTGAGAAATTCAATTTGCTGGTCATGACTTCATTCTCTTATGTGCTGAATCGCAAAGTTAATATACCACCTTTGTAGTCCATGTAGAAAGTAATCTTCATTTGTTGGTTAAAACTTGAACAATCAAAAGACGAGCAACTTTCCTAGCTTTGCTTTCTGTATCATCCTTGCAGTGCTAATCTTCTATGATGTTTCCTCACAAGATTTATCCTTGCTCAGGATAATGAACCTAGTATAGTAGGGAAATCAGTTAAGCCATTTGCAAATGGAGATTCTCTTCCAGTAAAAAGGGATCCTTTTCTTGGAGGGTTTGATGGAAGCCGTGGACATACATCAGAAAACAGGATCCACCATGAAGATCTTAATGCAGGGTTTTCATCACATCAGAGAGTATCATTTTTCTGGGCGGAGGATTACAAGTGCTCAATATGTGGGGTGGAACTGCCTCCAAGTTTTGTTGAGGAAAGGCAGGAGCATTCGGATTTCCATCTTGCTGAGAGGCTTCAAGAGGAGGAGTCAGGAGACAATGTTATAAGCCTCACGGTTAAGCCGAGGTATCAAGTTTCTCTCCTCTCTGTGACTTTTGCACTACTTATTTAATTTGTTTGGTTTTCTTTACCCCCTGCTTGTTGTCCCCCCCTCTCTAACTTGTACCATGATCTCTTTGACCTACTTAAATCTTTTGTAAGTGGACCGTATAGTATTACACACTGTAACCTTACTGTTTTGCTCGATGCTTCTATGATTGACAGTCTCTTATATTTTTAAATATATTGAGGTTCTGCCTTTTGCAGTGCCTACTGGAGTTCTGTTCTAAAGAGTTCAATGTGTGCCAGGTTGGTCCAGAGAGAACATACTATCAAGGACAGGAAGACAAGGAAAAGGCAGAAACCATCTCCAGCAGGTGGTAAACATGTTCCAATCGATGTCTACTTTGCAAAGACGAGTCAAAATTTCTGATGCTGTATTAGAATAGTCTGTTGAGGGGTTTTACAATACACGCACATGAAAGAGGTAAACGCCTCCTCTCCCACACGCCACAGCCCAAATGTATCCAGTCGTGTACAGTGTTCGAGAGAAACCAATCATTAGATGCAGTATGTACATATCTTGTAAGCCATGTAATCGTTATTCATAATTACTGAATGGGGTATTTATGATATGCACATTCCGTTCTTTTGCCGTGTCGTGGTTGTTGTGCGCTTATACTTCTGCAACAGTTTCCTCCTCATAATTATCCGTCAAGGTCACGAATCCATCTGGGAAAATTGAAAAGAAGAAAGGTTGGAATCTTGGAGGCAAGCCACCGGTTACAAAAGCATATCACGAGTTTTTGAGATTTTCATGAAAATGGAAAACAGTGAAGCGGAGATGCAAATTGCATAATCAATAGACATTTAGAGGCGGAGTTTTGGGAAAAACGAGGTTGGATCATTGTGCGGTCTGGGTTTAGCAGTTGGTGGTTAATATCTGCCCACGTGGTTTAAAAGCATCCCAAAATCTTCGTCTACTTGTTTCAGTGGGTAATGGTGGTTACTCCACCAATCTCCCGTCGGACGGGTGACACAACATCCTTTTGCCTCTCGTTTTCCTTTTTTGGCAGCTATGGTTTTAACACACGCTATGAAGAATTTTCCGACTTATATTCCTCATCTGGAAGCACCCACCTTGAGAACCCACTCCATTTCTTTATTCGCTTCATCTCCTAATGCAGCAGTTTCCTCCAAACTCCGTTCAGCTTCCCCCCTCAAAACTGAGAGAGAGGACAATTTTCTTGATGGAGTAAACACCGCCCCTACTGCTGACGCAGCTTTACCAACCATGGCTGACATCATTGAAGCATCAAAAAGGCAAAATCTGGACCTCCACATCCAAAGTTTAGGACCCTTTTTCAGAATAACGGCTAAAAGCTTGAAAACTGGCAATGAGCTTGGCAGGGCAGAAGGACTGGTGAGGCTGTGGCTAGGAGGAAAGATTCTTCATTTGGACTCCATCAAACTGCGCAGGGAGACCTTGGAGATGGAAAAATCTATTTTTGGGATTGGTTTGTATGTTGGAGCAGTTGCAATTAGATATGGATACGATTGTGGCTGTAAGCAAGCTGAGTTACTTGCCATCAATGACACTGATTTATATCATTCCAAGGTTACAGCTGCTGTTTTCTGGAATTTTAATGGTTTTACAAATGAATATATCTACTAGATGATTTGCTGTCTCTGAACTTGAAATCTTGAATTTTGGCTGCAGCTTGTTAGGTTTTACAAGAGAATTGGGTTCAGGAGTGCGTACGAAGTGACTGGTTCGTCCTTTGGGGATTTAGCGGACATGTTGGTGTGGGGGGGAATTGGGACCAGGATGGATGCTGATATTGAAGAGCTCATGATCAAATGGTGCACCAGATTCAAACCTCAGGTCTTAGATTAAAATAGGCTGGCCTTTGATGTTGTTTTGATCAGTAGAAGCAAAGATTGGGCTTGGAAGGAGGATGAAAAGATGGTTTATGCGAAAGAGTCCTAGTAACAAATGCGATGCTTTTAAATGGATAGAGAAACAGGGCAGGGTTGAGATCTTTGTCATCGTGTTCTGTGGTTCCCATTTTGATTCAGATTCTTGTGCAGGAAATGAAAAGAGCGAGCATTCAAGATTTTAGATTCTCGTCTGTTGAGTTTTCTACTTTTCTGAACAGATGAATGCTGATTGTTAACTCATCCACGTTTCAATTTTGTAGGAACAATTCAATCATTATGCGCAAGCACCCAACGAATTCGGTGATAATTGTGAACTGAACTTGAAGCTTGATTTGGTGTCTGCATAAAGCCATTGCTTCTTTGGTAAAAGGAAAAACGATAAAAAAAAAAGTTAATAAATAAATAAATATGTACAAATATACAAAAATAAAAAATAAAAATGAATAAATATGTACAAAAACATGTAGATAATTTAAAAACCTATTTTAATAAGAGTGGGATGCTATGTTATCCATGCTATGCCAATCTATCATTGCTAGATTTCTTTTTTTTTTTTAAAAAAAAAATCTACCGACCTTTAATTTTATCGTCAATAAACAATTTATCATTGTCTTTTTTTATTTAAAAAACAAAAAAATTGTCCTTTCCTCTATCCAAAAAAAAAAAAAAATTTGTGCGGTCCCATTATTTCCTGATTTAGTGGATCTTCTTATCAATCCTGAGCAAATTTTCAAGATTATAGTTTTTGTAATTCTTTTTTTTTTTTCCTCAGTTCAAGATTGTGCTGACTATCCAATCAGCGCAAGTCAAGCCCAGAGCAAGCACTTAACGAAACAGGCCATGGTACGACACAGTTTAGATCTTATTGGGCTCAAGCTGCCTCTGACAGCCCATGTCACTATTGAACGAGTTCTCCTGACAAGGCACTGATAGGTAATTACATACTAGTACTAATTTCTGGTCGCTGTACGACCCTTGTAGCCCTAATCTGTCTTAGGTGAAGCTGAGAGCAAAAGAGGTGGTCATAATAATCATGTCTCGTCGAGAAGGCCGGGACTCGGAATCAAGGCGCCATCGTTCCAGGTTCGATGAAGAACCACCCAGGTAGTTATGTTTTCCCGCATATTCTCACGTGATCTTCTGTCTTTTGTGAGTTTTCATTGTTTTATTTATTGTACATTGCAATTTGTACCTGACATCATTTTGCAGATTAACCCAAAAATGTTTGTGTCGTATGAGTTCTTGCATTATGAATTTGCATGTTATTATAGCTCTCAAGATTCAATTTTTAGAGCAAAATATTTAAAAAGGGTATAAGGGGTGAAATTTGAGTATTTAGAATAATATTTGTGGGTTATTCTTGATGGGATTTGATAATGGTGAATGGCGATCTAGGATTGGTCATTGAAAGGTCGATTTTGTGGGGCAATTTGCAGAACTTTTCTGTTTTTTTTTTCCTTTGTTGTGGGTGCGTGGTCGGAATTGGTTGGGAGATAGAAGAATTTAAGTAACAGTGAGGAGCTTCGTGTTTATCATCTCGGGAAATGCAGCAGGATGTAGCTTCATCTCAGCCCGCCTTGCTTCGGCTTATAATTATTTACATCTTGTACATTTTAATTGCTGTAAACCAAGTTTTGTTTCTTTTTATTATTTTTATTATTTATTTTTTTGGGGTTTTTTTGTTTTTGTGTTTGGGGGGGGGGGGGGGTTGTTAAGAAAACTGTTCTGGTTTGATTTTACGGATAGAAAGTTGGCTACTTTGACTTCAAGCTTTCAGACCACTAGCAGCCTTGGCTAATATATTTTATAAGGAGTTCTTTTGAGGAGATGTTATTTGAACTTATCTGTACTGATAATACTTTGGCATTATGCAGTGACTATTTTACTGTCAATCCATGGTTGAAGCAGAATTAAAGATAAACAAATGAGAGATAAAATTGATATTTAAAGCTAGATTCTACTTTATAAAGCTTGCTGCTTGTCTCCACGTCTGGCGAATTAGTTTGTTTGAACATTCCATAAAACTTATTGATATCAAAACTTACTACTCCGAGGTTTCATATAGGGCATCGACAGGAAGTTGCGTTAAAAGAGTTATCTTCTCCAGAGCTTGATTGAATCATGTTTTGATCTTGACATTTTTTTAGAACTCCATTGCGTTAGCCTATTTGTTTCAATTGCATTTAACTTGCTGAGATTTCCCAGGTGAATGACACGCAATTATTGAATAAATTATCTAGTTGGATATTAGCACCAGTAGTCACATATAACCTCAGATAGAGAACTTATTTTACCTGTTGGTCTTTCCTAGTCCCAAGAGATCTAGGAGGGATGGCAAACCGGAAACTGAAAGACCACCTGCGAATAGTCATTTGGATAATCGAGACCATTCAGACCGTGATCAAAAGCACCGTCGCCGTCTACAGGATGCTTTACCTCTTGAGGCCTCATCGGAACAGGATTCTAAAGTAGGAGGAGCAGCTTTGAGCAAAGAAAAATCTGACAAAGCTAGTTTAGATCATGAAGGAACCAAGGTTTCTTTGGATCCGAAGGATATACCTCGGTCACGGTCATACTTTCAGGTGTCATGTCTAGTAATAAATCTCTCATCTTACGCAAGTTACCGTGGCTTTTTGATTGATTTTTTCCTTTACTGGTTGCTGAGGAGCTGATATCTTGTTTCTTTTGCATTTTTTGGATTCCCAGGTTTACTGTTTCTCCATCTGCCATAATTAAACATCATGCAAACTAACAGCCGCAATTTTGGTGGCTTTATTGATTGTCATGCTATTGTTGTCACAATAGCTGAGAATTCTATATTGGCCAGTTGTTTTTGGGGTAGTCTTAGCATTTATCACCTGTTAGATGTAGGTCGGTGACTGTGTTGCTGATGGGTGCTTGCTGACTAGTAATTGTGTTGTAATATACTGTTCATGTGGTGTGTGTATGGGCTTGCTCTCATTTTAGCTCATTATAGATTCAGATTTTGGATTATCAGTTATTTGGATGTTCTTGTTTGCTTTTGTATTTAGATTATAAATTTTTAAGTAGCCAAAGAAAAGGTAAAATCCATAATCCACCAAAGGATAGCTCTGTGATTCTGAATTCTCTATAATTACTTTCCATAATCAGATTTTGCAAAATCTAAAGCATATCAGAACAGGCCTATGTGTATTAACTACTTCCTCAGTTAAAACTAGTAGACAGGGTAGACCAAAGAAGCATAGATTGTTTTTTAACATTACTACATAGTTTTGACAGTATAGATTGCCAGTTGTGTTCATACTTTGCTTCCACCTGAGCTTGTGTCCTAGTTTAGTTTGTGATTATATCTCCTACACAATTATATGCATCTGAATGTTTGACTGCTTGAAGCCCAAAATGTATCTCTAGCATATGATTGTTACTTGGTCGTTTAAATGTCTATATTTGGGCTGATATATGGGGATACTCTTTCAGCCTGGTGACTTGAAGTAGCTCCATATGTATAACAATGTTAGGCTTGCCTGTGCATGTCTTATAACAGCACGATGACCGTGGTAATGCCGGGCAAGTTGGTAGAAGTTTTGGTCGGAGAGCAGCTACAGGTAAGTTCAATCTTTCCTTAAGTGAATTTGTTTGATTATCTGAATCGTCTTGTTTCTTGCATTCAGGAGGATGAGACTAGGCATCATTCTACTTTGGATTTTCATGTACATTGTTCTGAACTTTATCTGCATATGTTAATTATTATTTATTGTTGAACCTGCCCTTAAAACTGATTCAATAAATAGAATCTGACATCAAGCTGTCCTTTATTATATGATAATGACTCCCTGTCTACGTGCAAATGTAAATATGACTTGCAGTGTAGTTCTTTTGATCGGAGCCTTCTGGCTTCACACTCTTCTTATATCCTGGTGTTCAGTCTTTATTGCTTGTTTATTTATTTGGTCTTGTACATTCAAGATAAGGGACTTGGGTTATCAAGTTTTTTAATGGTCTTACAGTTGATGCAAGAGGCAATTGCATCAACTGGGTGCTTAGCAATCTTCAGCACTATTTATCGCCCTTTTCCGGGTTTTCACTATAAATTGGCTTATATTTTGGTTACATTATTAAAGATGAAGAAAAATATATCCACTAATGTTCACCTGCGAATCTGTAACAACTTGTGGATCTACTTAATATGCATCTTTAATCTTGGCTTTCCTGAACTTGAAAGAACTCCTTGTTGTTTTCTGGCAAAGAGCGTGGATGGTGGAGGGATTCAAAGGAGCAACAGAGTGAAAGGGGAAACAGGATATCTACTGGTGACGTGCAGAAGAAAGATGATCGGGCACCTAGAGTTCATGGAGAAGTCAATGATGCTTGGCGCCATGATAAGTACTTTCAAGTGGAGGCAGATCCCAAACAACCTGCAAAGAAAAGGTCATTCAGGGAACAGAAGGATCAGGATGATTCTGGGAAGGCTGGCAAAGAAGTGGAAGAGCTTTTGAAGCCAAACCCTGAAGAGAATCCCGTGTCAGAGAGTGCAAGAAGGGATGAGAGAGGAGGCTACACCTCACGTCATTCAGACAGGCCTGAGCAAGGGTTTGCTGGGGACAGGGAGGCAAACAAAGGTGATGCGTGGAGAAGTCACTTCTCAACAAGAGATAGGTATGGCAACCGTACTGGAAATTACAGGGGAAGAGATCGATTCACAGCAAGGCAGGGGTATCGTGCAACAACAAGAGGCCGTGTTGAGAAATGGAAACATGATCTCTATGACGAGGCCAATAGGAGTCCTAGTCCTAAGAATGAAGAAGATGTCGTTGCAAAAGTTGAAGCACTCTTGGCTTCATAGCAAAATATTGCTTGAAAAGTTGGGAGTGCAATGAAGCTAGAGTTGTCGTTTGCATAGAAAGTTTCGTGTTTTCTTGTTCTTCGGCTGCTTTTTGGGTGTCCCAACCTCACTACTGTTCAAGATGCTGAAATATGAAAATTGTACTGTTCTTGTTTCGTAATTTGATTCTGGTTCCTAGCATAGCTAATAGCTGCTTCTCGTGCTAAACTTGATGACAGTGTTGCAACCAACTTGCAGGGAGGGGCTTTGTTTCTTTATAGGTCTCAAGTGGGGAAGTGAAAAAAACATTCCGAACATCTGATGCGGCCTATCCAACACGAGGCATTTGAAGTTTTAATTGTTATTATGATTATAGTGTTTAAAGGGTTAAATACGATTAAGGGAGATTAATCATAATAAATCATTCTGTTGTTTGCCCTGTTATTCGCCTACCAAATTATTGTTCAAGAAAGTAAAACCCAAAGCAAATTAAGGACATATCTACAAACATAAGATACCCCATCCAAACTATTTGCATTTAAAATAAATAGATAATATGAAAGTGAAAAAGCTACCGTTTGTAGAAGAATAGGAGAAGGGATGACCCCCACCAAAATGAGAGTCAAAAAAAAAAAAGCACAGATTATAACTATTCAAAATTACTCCACCGTCTCTGCATCAACAAAATACTCATTTACGTCTACCATATGTCGCATATCCTAATAAAATTTGGAACGACTATGTAAAGCTTTGTGTTCAGAAGGGGATCATATGTTAGAAAAGGAAATCGAATTCAAAACAACGAAACAAGTCACCTAATCATTTAGGTGCTGTATTTGTATTTATGGGGGATTTTTTTTTTTCCACAATAAAGTAGAAGACCCTTGTTATCCATTTTACCATATGCTAACTCGGCTATGATCAAGGCAAAGAAGAGTCCAAAACAAATTTAATCGAGATAGATACTTTCTTAAACTTGCTATTACCATAATAATCATCAGGTATCAAAAAAGCACGTCTAATTTGTTCCACGGTTTATGGGGTGTAATATTAGTCCCCAGCTTGGAGCAGCAGTTTGTTTGTTTCCAAAAGAACAGCAGAAGGAGGATTCATCATCTATGCATGACAAAGTGAGAAATATGCATGTAATTGGCTGTGGTTGAGATCATATTCCTTCACAATCACACTACCACTAGAAAGTCGACATATGAAGCTCATGCTATCAATTCACAATACCAGTGTAGTGTCTGAATATCTTTGATTTTGGATCATTGGCGTGATGCCGGAAAGAAACTCTTTGTTCGTTCTGCTATTAATGTCTGTTTTTGTTTCCTCAGGTTCTATATGTTTCACTTATACGACATTGAAAAGATAGCTAATTAGTCTTAGGACTCCAGAGCTTGCAACTGCAGTAATTCTAAAAGATCTGCACGCCCCATGAATACATTTTAGTATCGTTTTTTGTTGTGCTTGTCAAGACACTCAAAAGTTTCAAAACCCAGATTTAATTTCCATTTTACTTGCTACTTTTTTTGCAATTTAATACATACATCTGCCTAATCTGATTGAAGAAGTATATGCTTGCAGGAAATCAGGTTCAAGCAGTCGACTATGACCATAGTTACACTCCTGAGGCAAGTTCCGTGCTGTAGCTAAGATTAATCTAATGCTACTCAAGCATTTTATATTATGCATGATATTTGCATGGTTGTAGTGTTTGGCGAAACCTCTTAAACCTCAGCATAATGGAGGTCAAGTAATCAACGCAGAGTTGAACAATGGATTAAAGGGCTGGTCATCCTATGGAGGTGCAAAGACAGAAACCCGAGAGTATGGTGGCACTAAGTTCACTGTGGCTCTCTCAGAAGTTCAACTTGGAAAAGGACAAATTCTACATCATCTCTGGTAATGTTAGAGGATAACAAAAGTATAGAAAATTTTGACCTTGTTAATTTACTAACATGAATTATATGCATACGTCTTAAAGACTTCTTTTTGAAACGGATATTCTAGAGTCTGGATATTCAATGCATAATTTTCTACATGTCTCTGATATTGGACGATGCCTCATCGTAGCTTGGTTACAATTAAGTAATCGAAGTTCTAATGTTGCTGCAGTAGTCTCAAAGCATCAAATGATTCCCATTATGCTGGTTGGTCTATTGCTCAATTAATCCGGTTGTTGCTCAATCGATGTTGGTCCATGTTTCAGGACCTGCACACCTTTATTTTGAGGTATATTCCCACTTTAAGATGTGCATTCTTCCCCTGTGCTTCTCATCCTTGTTTCGTGATGATTCTTTCTCCGCTCTTGCCCGGAGTGACCATCCCATCCGTTGAATTAAGGACAACCATTTAGCCAAGAAGAAAGGATATCTCACCGGCTTCGAAGCATTAATTGAAAAGGTAAACTGATCAATCACAATCTTGAACAAAAATATGGTACGGTGGATCACGACTATTTTTACTAATTTGCAGGCGCGCAAAAGCAACGTAAAAATCCGAGCAGCAGTCGATATCAAAGGCGCTCCCCGCTCCATTGATTAATGCATCATTGGCTTTCAGATTAAAACAAAACAGTTGCGGCTTTGGTAGTGCAATGAGCAACAGAATCACAAGGCTTCCCCTTTATCAAAATTGGGTTGGAAGGCCATTTTTATCTTCCTCCTAACTTACCTCACACATACGAACCGCACTTGACATATTGGCTAGGGCAGCATTGCCCATTTGGGTCACGGAATTGGATGTTGACAGCCGCTGGCCGCAGGTAAACGCTATTGCCACAAATTTTCTTCTTCGTTAATTTGAATGGTTCCAACATATTAAATAAAGCACCAGGCATAAAAAAGTGGAATGCATTAATTGTTCATCCCCTGAGACTTGATGGATCAATTAGCATTCTGGTTGTTACATTTTTGAGCAATGCACATCCGGCGATAGGTGGGGTGATGATATGGGCACCACCATTTTGTTATAGAATGTGTTTAACTGATGCCAATTTCAAGAACCTGCAATAAGTAGTGGATAGACTCCTTGGTGAGTGGAACCACTGGGCTTTGATGGCCGCCGCGGATACGAATGGTTACTTTCAAACATCACTATCTCATGGAGACTACGAATTGAACATCAACCATCCTAATGTGGCAAATTCATCCCACACTTGCGGCATCGCGGTGGCACCATCCGCCAAGATTATAAACTTTGAATTGTCGGCATGAGCGGTCTTAGACTTTGAGAGATGTAGTCTCTGATTTCTTCAAATAAAGACCTAAACAAATACATAATAAATTTGTGGTGCCTTGACTTGTTTGATAAAAAATGTAAAAGCATTAATATCTCGATTATGCTTTAGGACGGGCAAGAATTTAATCATAACCAACCATCCTGGACTCCCTGAAAAACTTTAGGATGGGTGAGGATCAACTGAGAAAGCAATCGGGTTGCGCCCCAATTCAATCCCTACAGGCATGAAGAAGAAAAGTTCCACCATTTACCAGTACCTGACAACCCATTCCTCTAGCTGCAAGAAACTGCTGTCCAACTGGCATGACAGCTCTAGCTGCAAGAGTGATACAAGAACATAAAAATCGAAAATTGTGACCTAATATGAATGAGACTGTTACACTGATTTTGGAACAACAACATCCTTGATAATTGGAAAAGACTACTTATTTTAAATAGCTAAGATGGCCGTCACGCGAAACTCGACAACATCGATTTTCCATCGCAACAAATATACATATATAAAGCATTTCAAGAATCTTGAAGATTGCTGCAATTCCTTCAGACGGCATTTTAAACATCATCTAAAGCGCATGAAATTGTGAACTACACACATAAAGGAGTAAATTTGGTTCCAGAATCTAGACTGCAGTAAAGCAGTATGAATACTATCTTCTAAACAAGGACAATTTGGTAGAGCTACAGTCTACAAAGGGTACCTACTGCTGCAAGCCAAATATCGGATCAATTTTGGGATTCTAATCCACAACCAGAGAAATACCATGATTTCTGAAACCAAGCCGAATTTGGTTGACCCACTGTGAAAGAAGCAAAACTGTCATTGGTACCTCGTCAACTAAAACTTTGAACCCTAAAACGTTCTTGATTACATATTTAGATCTTCAATGTCAGTCACCAGATCTCCACTATTAAACCTTTTATTTGGTAGGTCAACCACCAGCTGACCACATGCGCCACTTATATCTTGGCCCATTTGCTTACGAACTGTCGTTCTAATATTGTAGACTTCCCGAAGTATTTTCTGGAATCTGGTGACTTTGTCTTCCTGGCTGGTTCTGAAGTGACTTAGATCACCAATTGGATTGAAAGGAATCAGGTTCACAACCTGCCGTACATGTTGGAACGCATTGCCCAAGCTTAAATGCAATAGAAAGTACATGGTCCACCAAAAAGAAAGACAAACATTTTTTTGCAAGCCATTCAAAAGAATGTAAATGAAACACTTGCAGCATATGGCCAATATTCGTTAAATGCCATATCAAATACAGAAAAGGAATACACACACACACAAGCACTGTGTGTGTGTATGAATATATATACGCATGAACGTATGTATGTATGCACGAAATTTAGCATATCTATACAATCATACAACAAGCATGGCATCTTATATTTTATAAAATAATATTTAGCAGATTCACGTTCACTAAAACCATCAAAAATCTGAAAAATATCTAAAATCATATACAGTATGTGGACTAGTTTTATCTGGCAAATCCAAAATGAACTCAATATATGAAGCTGCTATAATGCTCTGAAAGCAGTAAAATAATAATATAGAACGACAAATTGGAATTTGAAGCTCACCACTTGAAATGTCTCGAGCAATTTGCCAAGCTTGTGAGCGTGCTGCTCCTCATCATTCACACCATCAAGCATTATGTATTCGATAAAAATTTTCTGCTGACTAAATCATGTACAAATTATATATTCTGACAATCTGAAATCAGATTAGATAACAAGAAATAACAGAATACTATATGAAGATGATTCTTGTGAAAATAGAGATAGAGAAAATTAACAACCATTTCTTTTGATATTCTGCCAGTGCATCCATTAGTCTATCCAGGGGAAAAGCACGTGCTGCAGGCATGATTTGACATCGAATGTCTTGAACAGGTGCATGCAGTGAGACAGCTAAGTTTAAATTTGGGATATCATGCTGGAGCTTCTTGATAGCATGAATAATGCCAACCTACAAAAGGTTAACGTATAAGAAAAAAATTAAATGTCTGCAGTAGTAACTTTAACTCAAGACAGGCAAGGAGCATCACATTACATTCTACACTTTGAAACCAAAACCGGTAAAGCAGCTTCCAATATGAAATAATAAAAGACCAAAACTATTATAAATACTCACAAGTAATCTTCAACAGAAAAATAATTGAAGCTTTTAGAAAAGGTGCCGAAGAATAATATCAATGTAAAACCCCTACCGTCGAGACAGTAATTTTCCTTGGAGACAGTTGAAATGGTGAAGCTGTCATAACTCTAATAGCTTCAACCAGGGCAGAGTAATTATTCAGTGGTTCCCCCATTCCCTATCAACAAAATGAGACATTAAGTCGAATGTATTGAGTTTGGAATAGTGCCAATTTACAGATAACTCCAGAATATGAATAAACAGCACTAATATGTTGAACATTGGGCCCCCAAGGGGGGGGGAGGGAGGGAGAAGGAAAAACACTAGAAGCAACATTAGCAATCATGTTGATCAACCAAAATCACAGAATTTCAAGCAGATCGCCAAAAGTTTACAAATATCCAGGAAAGATTAGATTTTTGTTATGAGACGGATGGAGTTTAAAGAGACTAACGATCTAATTTGCATTTGTAAGGAAAACTATGGCATTTTAATAAAAGAAAGAGATGTAAGCCTTTACAACTTACAGCAGGGGAAAAAATAATAATATATGCTTGAATGTGCAAAGAAAGAGAGGATATATACCATGAAAACAACATTACGAATAGTTGACAGGTGAGAGGCATGCACCAACTGTTCCAATATTTCTCCTGTCGAGAGGTTGTTCTTGAATCCCATGCTTCCGGTTGCACAGAACTTGCAACCCATTTTGCATCCGACCTGAGAAAGGTTAAGGAAGTCATAAGTTATCTAGTCTTCAACAAATTACTTTAGTGTACAATACACAATAAGTATGCAAACTTAACTATTTCTTTTGTCTGCAAATTTCATGGATATGATAAGCCACAGAATGAATTCGCCATAAGCATATCACTGCAGATAAAGCTTAAGAAAATCATCTTAAGCACTAAAAATAGTTCCTATAACTAGGTCCATTGACTCTCAGGCAAGACCTTCTATGGCTTTGCAATGTGTAGGATCCATAACATGGTAACTCGGGGGGAAAAAAAACCCTTGAGCACATTACAACATTTAAAAGTTACAGAAGACCTGTTTAAGCAACAAATTAGGTCCTATAGTGAGTTACAGGCTATCAAAATAGACCTTCTTTATAAGAAAGTTGCAGAGAACTTAATGAGAATTAAGAAACAGAAGAAAGAACAGGAAGTACCTGAGAGGATATACATAAGGTGGACCTTGGGCCACCAGGACGAGCCTTTCCATTATATTTTCCCAAACGTGTGTCGTATCTCATGATCACAGCCTCCACAAATGCTCCATTCTGTTGATTATGTACAATTCTGAACGCATTCATACATACTTTCGAAGAATGTAGTTGCTCCTAGAGACCTTTCAAGTAATATAAAACTAAACGCCCATGAAAATGAAGCACTAATTTAGATTAATAATCCACAGCAAGCCAAACTTAATACTTGAAAAGATCAAAACCAAAGAGCACTAAAAATTTTAAGAAAAGGTTTAGGACAAAAGATATCACTGTTTTAAGCACCAATTGTGGCATTTACATTCTTTATAACACTATAACCGAGCTACTTCACTCGATTTCTTTTTTTTTTTTTTTTTTGGCCTAAGTTTCATCAATTCAATGGTTAAAGTACATAATCTACCAAACTATTTTCACAAACGAAAAGGGATTTTCATGGCACCTGCATTAAAAGATAAGAGTAGTAGTAGTAGTAGTAGTAGTAGTACCTGTAATTTGATGAGGAGCTTGGTGGTGACCTGGTCGGTGGAGTGAATAACAGAGTGGAGGGTGGAGGTGGAAGGCTTGAACTTGGACCGAAGCAGAGGGTAAGCTGACGCAGGCAAAGATGGAATATCCTCCCACTGGCAATTAGGGTTCTGTAACACATACCTGTAAATTATTTTGCCCCCCGCCCCCGGGGAATTGCTTGTGAAAAACGCCTATACAGGTGTGTGTAGATACATCTATAGAGAGAGAGAGAGAGAGAGAGAGAGAGATGTATGTATACTTCCAGATGAGAGGGATGAAGTGCGCGTTGATTTGGGCATTCAGGAATTCAGCAGTGATAAAGGAAGCATCGAAGACGGACTTGAATGTCCCCGCCATTATGTTAAAATAAAGATAATCTGGATTGCCTGACGGATTTCCCAGAATCCTCCAATTCGATTCTTATACGTTGGACCTTTTCAGCTGAGCTTCGTCTACAATTTTGCAAAAATTAATGACAGCTGTTATATACTCCATCTATTTTCCGTCATATTTGTTCGTTGCCGCCGCTGCTCTTCTTCTTCCTCTCCTTCTTCCCGGGGGAAAGCAGAGCGCAGGCTGCGACTCTTGCGCTTTTGTCATACTGTTTGTTGGTTTGCTTTGCCGGCTTCCAATCACGTGCAATGCACGAGTTGAATTTATTTATTATTTTTGTTTTTGCCCATCTAATTTTTCGTTGTTCGTCTCTAAATTTGAAGGGCCTCATTTGCAAATGAGCCGTGAATTTTTTTGTCATATATATAAAAAGATACTAAGTGCCTGTTTGATAACATAAAAAAGTGCTGAAACTGAATTTATTCAGACATTCAGATGTTGTGGGTGTTTGATAAATAAAAATTCACCTGCTGAACTTATTAAATGGTGCTGAATTTGTATATATTTTTTTCAGTACAAGAATCATAGCTGAATGCTTAATTTGATAAGAATCAAGAGATTTACTTCTGCTGAACTTATTAAATGGTGCTGAATTTGTATGTATTTTTTTCAGTACAAGAATCGTAGCTGAATACTTAATTTGATAAGAATCAAGAGATTTACTTCAACTACTTTATTTTATCTACCAAATATATCCATGTTTGTTAATTACATTCAAAATCCTTATCTAATTAAACAACCTAATATTCCCTATTCAAAATCCTTATCTAATTAAATAAAACAACCTGATATTCTCTATTCAAAAATTTTTTTAACAATAGTATTTTTTTGCAATAATTTTCATCCACAAACATTTATATTTTGATATATATTTTTTTGTGCAAATAAATATTATTTATGTGATGCAGCTTATCCACACACACGTGGCTTTATGACACCATATCGAAATATTAGATATTGGTTGTCTAATTTTCGAAATGCTTCTCGTCCAAGATCAAAAGGAGAACGCTTTAACCAAGTACATGCAATATTGAGAAATGTAATTGAACGTGCTTTTAAAGTATTAAAAGCTCGCTTTCCCATTTTCAAAACGATGAAACCATGCCCTTTTCTTACACAAAGAAACATTGTCATTGTATGCATTGCTCTTCACAATCATTGTCATTTTCATACCTAACAATTTTAAGTTAATTAAATCATAGGTTCTATTTTCTTTTTGGATTAAAAGATAGAAGGACAAAATTGTACAATTTAGATTATTAAGCATTAAGTTATGAATATTTATCAAACAGTATAAATAGATTCAGTATTAAAATTCAGACATTCATATATCTCTTTTCAGTGCTTAAAATTCAGCAAATTAATTATTTCAGTATTCAGAATTCAGATTCAGTGTTATCAAACGGAGCCTAAGTAGTATTAGATTAAAGGGTTTTTATCAATTTACCCCCTTAAACTATATCCCAACTATCAGTTTAGTCTCTAACGTTAACTTTTAGTCACTTAAGTCTTTGGACTAACGGTCAAATGAGAAGGTATTTTATAATTCACGTAAAAAGACATGTTTAGATCCAACTTAATTATAAATGGACAAATATACCCATAAATTGCCCTGCTAATATGTGAGAATTGCTTTAATTTGGAAAAACTCGCATGTTCTTATACTTTGGAAAATTATGAAAAGAAAAGGACCAGTAGGGAAATTTTTTTTACTAATGTATCACTTGAGAAAAAATAGACCTTATAATGGAATAACTATAAAATTTTCCTTCTAAGATTGTATTTGCTCGATGACGTGCAAACAGGTTGTGAAATTCCACACTTCGATATCATCATATTTGCAATATCTTGACAAGGTATTGCGCAAAATAAAAAATTTTGTAAACAATTTAAGAAAATAGAGGAGAGAAGAGTTTTCTAATCCTTGTTTTATACTTAAAGCACAAGGAGAGGGTATTTTTTGTCATAAAATTTTTCACCAAACTTTAGTTAGTTAGCATGGCAATTTATGGGTATATTTGTCCATTTATAATTAAGTTGGATCTAAACATATCTTTTTACGTGAATTATGTGAGAGCCCGTAATTTTCTTAAATACTAGATTTTATTTTTCTTTTAATTGCACGCTTTTTCACATTTTATTTATTTGGAATTGTGAAAATAATTTTTTTTATGAGTAAATATAGTTGTTAGATGATTTTTCTAGTATCGGTTAGATTTTGAGAACTTAAGAGCGTATATTGGACGTGAGACCCGCTAATGCGAAAAGTTCGGAAAAATTTGGCTAATTAGGTTATGTTTTGGATATTGGGTTTATTTTATCAGGTGTTAAGAGATAGTTAGAGATTACTTAGTTGGATTAATCTTGGAGAGACAAAAGAATATGTTTTAACTCAAAAGGTGCTAGGTGTCGCGACATGGTTGGTTCTTGGATTTTGACCCCTATTCACTAACTTTACTAAAACTCAAAATTGACCAAAATTTCTCCATTTTATTGCTTGCTTTGGCCGGCCATTAGAGAGAAGAAATCAAGAGAGAAAACTTCTTCTTCTACCTCATTTCTTACTCAATCTTGTGATTCAACCGTTTAAATTCCAAAATTCTCCATAAAAGTGAGTTGCTAGGCTAGTTTGAGGTGTTTGGTGGAGCCATTTGGGAAGAACAAGCCCTAGCTATCTTGTTTCTTGAGGTTACAAAGGTGAGTTGTGAAGAACCACTTTCCTCCCTCTAATAATGCTTAATTCATGATTAGTGGTGGTATAAGATGCAACTTTATGGATTATATTTTGAGTTTTGGTTGAATTGGTGAAGTTTTCTAATTATTGGTGATTTTTCTGTTTTAATATGAACATGATTGTGTGGCTATCTATGATGATTGGAAATGATGTTTAAGGACTCTAGGAGGTAGGAAAAGTGGTAAATTGCAAGTAATTTCTGTTTTGGAAGAAAAATTGGAAAGTTAGGGTTCTTGATTTTACATTCTGTCCGGTTTTATTGCACCATGTTAGAGGCCGAATTGACCTTGGGTTAAAACATGAAAGTTGTAGGGAATGATATTTTAGAGATGTTTGCAAAATTTTAGGTCAATCGGAGTAGCGTAGCTTGTGAAAAGACAGAATTACCCTTACTGTCCTGGTTTTACCCGAATTTGATAGTTGCGGCTGTAATTGATTAATTTGGTTGGAAATGCTTCAGAATTGGTTGTTGAGGTCTTCTGATGAATTGTAGCCCTGTTTCTTAGCTTTAGGATGGCTTTGAAATTACTGGATTTGGACTTGGGTAGCCTGTTTTATGGTGTTTGCACCAGAATGCGGTTTGTAAATCTGTTTTTCCGGTTCTGGTGTAGTATCTTGCATTTTTGACCTTGTTACACTTGAAACTGGATAGAGTTGCCTTCTGGAACATTGTAGCCCTATCTCTTAGCTTCGAAACGGTGTATCTTGCACCTTCATCCGATAATCGTAGTGCCTTTGGTGATAAAATCGCAAAATGATGTCAAAACCTGTTTTTTTTTTCGGGGTTAAAGCTAATCCCATTTCCGGATTTGTTTTTCCTTAGCTTGAATTATACTTGTACTACTTGGAGCTTACTGAACGACTATTGAATTTAAATTGTTGTGTAGGTACCTTTGGGTTTGAATGAGGAAAATAATGAAGCCATAAATGGCTGGAAAATAGGTAAATATAAAGGGCGTACTGCCCAAATTTTGGCTCGAGGGCTAAGTGTCGATTTGAACTTGTATATTTTTCGTGTGGCAAATACTATGATCGTTTTCCATCTTAACACTTGATACCTTTTCCATTTGAACCTTCAAATGTTTAATTACTACTTCATACCAAAATATAGAGGTATGACCTAAGGTTTTCTCAATCTAGACATATAGGCCTTAATACTTATTTGAATGTATATTGATTTTGAACTACATAAATGATTTCGAAAACAATGTTTCTTAGTCTATCGAGTTGGATTATGATTTATTTTAGTCAAGTGTTTTCCATCGGAAATTTGATAACCTTTTTGGATTTAGTTTCGCATTTGGTTTATTAACCCTAGCTATTTTCGACCCCAGGTCCAAATACTTTCTTTTCATTTTAAAGTCATGTTTATACGTTTTACTCGTAATTAGTTAGATTTTCTTCGATTTATTTGTTGTGATTAGATGAACTATAATATTTCTCTTGTTAATTTAGGTTTTGTCGGTGACTGCGAGTAATATTCGAAGGGATATTTGCACGTTGTTTTGCGTAAATAGGTGAGTGTTCCTTATCTGCTATATTTTCTTGATTTTATGACTTGTATTACTGTTTGATTATGTGTTAAGTGCTTTCAATAATTTTCGAAACGAGTTTTTTAGGCGCGTGTGTACTTTATCGGACTCGACCTAAATAAATGTGAAATTTCAAGGATTTAATGATTGAAATATTAGTTGCGCATGATGTAAGCCTTATGGCTGAACTGGACCCTGCCCTTCGTTACCGATCGACTCGAGCCAGAAGCGGAATCGGTCGGGCGATATGGTGACCTTGGGTGTGAATGTCGGTATACTCGAGTATTACCTTGTAAGTTCGTGGAGCCTAACCAATTTCCAGGAGGGGGTGAATGAAATGAACAAAAGAATGAGGGTTTTATTTCAAAAAAAATGAAATTTTCCAAGCAATTGGAGGAATAAGGGAAAGTGACAGGAGAACGCGCGAGCGAGCGAATGTTTGGTTCCATGTGAGCCCGTATCCTTTTAATGTATGTGTTCTTATTGCTTTCCATGCTAAATGTTTCTTGGATTATTGATTATTGATGGTTAATGTATTGGCTTTGTTGTTTAATTACATGTTCGGAACCTCGCTGAACTTTTAACTCATCCCTTTAGTTTTGTTTTTCTTAGCAGGGGAAGGCGAGCAAGGACGATAGCTCGGTATAGACTAGCTGGTCTAGTTTTTGATGTTTTTTGTAAGGGTTCTCGCCCTAGTGTTTGGCACGGGGTGGTTGTATGGTGAATTTGGGAACTTTTGTATATTTGATGGTTGTACTTTCTTTTGAGATCGTAATGTATATAAGTTTCGTTTAAGTTTTTGGATCATTGCTATGTTTTTCGTATGGGCTTGATCTGGTTTTGCTCGAGGATGGAAGTGATCGATTGAGTTCCGGCGAGAGTTGGGCAGGCGGTCCGCCGAACCCTT